ATAATTGTAATCAGAAGATACTTTTAACATGTAAATAGTATTGGTAACATAATAAATAGCAGAAGAATAACTTCAGATTAAATAATGCTGTAATTGAAAATTGTACACCCAGTGTAGACTACTGCCCCTTCCAGATGGTAACAGTTTTGTTCAGTTCGCTTCGTTTAGTTCCCTTCAGGGGCTCTTTTGAGGGGTCTGAGTTCCTTTGGAGTGCTCACACTGCACAAAAAATTAAGCAAACCGCACTGAGTTCACAAAAATTGTCTGAAAGGGACCAAGTGTGAAAACACCCCAAAAATCGGCTTAACCCTAAATCCGTTACAGCTGCCAGGAACATCTTGTGTAGTGTCTACAGTGCATTCGAAAAGTATTCAGACCGTTTGACTTTTTCCACATTTTGTTACATCTTATTCCAAAATGGATTAACTAAAAAAATGTCCTCATCAATCTACACACCCCATAATGACAAAGCAAAAACAGGTTTATAGAAATGTTTGCAAATGTATTACAAATAAAAAACAGAAATACCTTATTGACATAAGTATTCAGACCCTTTGCTATGAGACTCGAAATTGACCTCCGGTGCATCCTGTTTCCGTTGATCATACTTGAGCTGTTTCTACAACTTGATTGGAGTCCGCCTGTGCTAAATTCAATTGATTGGCCCTGTGTAGCTCAGTTGGTAGAGCATGGCGCTTGCAACGCCAGGGTTGTGGGTTCGTTTCCCACGGGGGGCCAGTATGAAACATTTATGCACACACTAACTGTAAGTCGCTCTGGATAAGAGCGTCTGCTAAATGACTAAAAATGTACATTGGACATGATTTGGAAAGGCACACACCTGTCTATATAAGGTCCCACAGTTGACGGTGCATGTCAGAGCAAAAACCTAAGCCATGAAGTCGAAGGAATTGTCTGTAGAGCTCCGAGACAGGATTGTGTCGAGGAACAGATCTGGGGAAGGGTACCAAAAAATGTCTGCAGCATTGAAGGTCCCAAAGAACACAGTGGCCTCCATCATTCTTAAATGGAAGAAGTTTGGAACCACCAAGACTCTTCCTAGAGCTGGCCGCCCGGCCAAACTGAGCAATCGGGGGAGAAGGGCCTTGGTCAGGGAGGTGACCAAGAACCAGATGGTCACTCTGACAGAGCTCCAGAACATTCCAGAAGGACAACCATCTCTGCAGCACTCCACCAATCAGGCCTTTATGGTAGAGTGGCCAGACGGAAGTCACTCCTCAGTAAAAGGCACATGACAGCTTGCTTGGTGTTTGCCAAAAGGCACCTAAAGGACTCTCAGACCATGAGAAACAAGATTCTCTGGTCTGATGAAACCAAGATTGAACTCTTTGGCCTGAATGCCAAGCGTCACGTCTGGAGGAAACCTGGCACCATCTCTACGGTGAAGCATGGTGGTGGCAGCATCATGCTGTCGGTATGTTTTTCAGCGGCAGGGACTGGGAGACTAGTCAGGATCGAGGGAAAGATGAACGGAGCAAAGTACAGAGAGATCCTTGATGAAAACCTGCTCCAGAGCACTCAGGACCTCAGACTGAGTGAAGGTTCACCTTCCAACAGGACAACGACCATAAGCACACAGCCAAGACAACGCAGGAGTGGCTTCTGGACAAGTCTCTGAATGTCCTTGAGTGGCCCAGCCAGAGCCCGGACTTGAACCCAATCGAACACCTCTGGAGAGACCTGAAAATAGCTGTGCAGCGACGCTCCCCATCCAACCTGACGGAGCTTGAAAGGATCTGCAGAGAAGAATGGGAGAAACTCCCCAAATACAGGTGTGCAAAGCTTGTAGCGTCATACCCACGAAGACTCGAGGCTGTAATTGCTGCCAAAGGTGCTTCAATAAAGTACTGAGTAAAGGGTCTGAATACTTATGTAAATGTAATATTTCAGTTGTTGTTTTTGTACACATTTGCAAAACTTTCTAAAAACCTGTTTTTGCTTTGTCATTATGGGGTATTGTATGTAGATTGATGAGGGGGGGAAACAATTTAATCCATTTTAGAATAAGGCTGTAACGTAACAAAATGTTGAAAAAGTCAAGGGGTCTGAATACTTTCCAAATGCACTGTATATGTATAGGCTATAGCCTAGTTTAGATCTAGTATGTTGCCTTATGTATAAAAGTACAATAGGTCAAATACTCCTAGGCCTACATTGTAGCTCTGTCTTTAGCCTAACATTCATTTCTGGAGAAAATTGACTTGTATCAAGTGTGTTTTATTCCATTGGGATTGTGCACCATTTGAATGAATAATTTTTTCAAAACACAATATTTTTGTGCAGTGGAAGTGGCTTTACACATGTCATAGGCCAACTCAGTGTTCCATTATGTCCTATGGCCCTATGTTTTCCTGTGTCATGATTCTGGCATTGGCTGTATCTGTGGCTGGTTGGAAAACACACCAAAAGTCAGAATGTTAAGCAAATTAAATCTTTATTAAAACCTTTATAACAGGTTCATAATCCAAAATAAAACAGATTTGACAGATTTTTTTAAAATAAGGGCTATGTGAATGACGACAGTGAGTGAACTAAAAGTCTGAAGGATCCAAAAGCAGCATAACACATATATGAAACTGTGGTGTCTCAAAATATGTTGCTAATTATGCTGTGATGATAAGAAGTCCGCTTACACTGTACTTTGATTATAAAGGTTTATTGTATCAAAGATCACAGTATCAATTTACAGACATCTGCAGATATCTGGAGAACAATAGCCCAATCTGTTAATATGTTGTTTCTCTCCTTCTTTGTTTAAGACATGGTATTTATATCCTATGTGACATAGTATGGCGTGATTTTAATAAACCAATCCCCGGCTTTCACATATCTCCAAATGTCCTCTATTCCAAGAAACCTATGTAGCAATGTTTTTCCAAATGCTTCAGCAAAGCAGAGTAAAGTTCATCTATTGCACCATTTGCAAACATCAGCAAAATCAATAGACCTTCAGACACTACAAAACAATGTACAGTAATGGAGAAAGACGTCTGGAAACCACATTTCATAACAGGCAACCAATTCCACACATACAGAGACAGGCAGATATCGGTATTCAGTCCCAGTCGGTAATCACATAATAATAATAATAATAATAAGGAATTCCCCTCGACCACGCCCATAAATTGGGAAAAACCCTTCGTTTTTTTTGTTATACAGAAATAACAAAACATGACGAAAAGCTCCTGTATTATTCAATGTAGATGTAGCCAGGTCAAAAATCCCGACCCACGGATCGCAATGGTCCCACGTTGGGAACTACGTGGTCCTCTGTAGCTCAGCTGGTAGAGCACGGCGCTTGTAACGCCAAGGTAGTGGGTTCGATCCCCGGGACCACCCATACACAAAAATGTATGCACGCATGACTGAAAGTCGCTTTGGATAAAAGCGTCTGCTAAATGGCATATTATTGTTATAAATAGAGCCTGCGAGCTATTCGGTGTGGGAAATGTGGGGACGAGGTGTCCAAGTAGGCTACACGTAGCTTTGTGTGTTGTTAGAAATTGCGTAATTCAAATCTGGTATTGGAATAAGAGAAAACATAATCAAGAGATATTCAATCCAAGCTAAATTTATTATATGCAAAATGTATGTATGATAAGTATGTTGGTTCGTATACGGGCTCACTGAAATACCACGCAGGGCAGACAGAGAACTAATCCATTGTTATAGGTTCTTCTTCAAATACTCTGACAGTTTTTAGTTCCCGCTCTCTACTGGCCAATCAGAGTAGAGACTGAGCGTGGTTTAGACTTACTCAGCTTATCCGTTGGCGCACGGGCTGGTCCCAACCCCTTGGCGCATCCCTGTTGCCAGGCATAAGTTTTTATCATAACAACCTGTGGAGTCAGCACCCAAAAGACACCATTCCACTGTACTACGTTCAAGGACGGTTCACAGACAACAAAGAGGCAGTGTTCGTATCTGTGAGAAATACAAGTCTTATCTATAAGAAATACAAGTTTTATCTCATCCTAGCCCCTAACGTTCCTCACATGAATCACAGCCTGTTAGGTGAAACAATTCATATCAGTACAGTACAGACCTTTTATGCTTTAATCATTAATGCATTCTTTCTAAGTTAGTCATCCCATCCATTTATGAGAATAATAAATCCCCACAGTGTGGAAAACATTTCATCACAGTTAACACATTTAACTTGTTTAGCTAGTACTGTCCGTTTGTAGTTCCACTCACTACTTGTAGCTGGATAGTCAGATTGTTTGTGTTGTTGGTCTTGGCTAGCTTAATGTTCCGGTCGGTAGCTAGCTCTCACTCACTCAAGTTGCTGCTAGCATCGTTATGAAAAAGGGCATTATAAGGGAAGCCCTACAATATTACGTTTTCTAAGTAGTGAGAACACTAGGGAGCAGGCAATATTGAAAAGTAATCTTTAGACATGTTGTACTTTTCTTAAATGTAGTTTTGTAATTGACTAAAACAAGCAGACAACAAGAAAATTGCGTTTGAAAAAGGTCAAGTTTTTGCTGTGAGCCAATGGGGAAACAAATCACATTTTATTTGTCACATGCGCCGAATACAACAGGCATTTCAACCTTACAGTGAAATGCTTACTTACAAGCCCTTTACCAACAATGCAGTTTTAAGAAAAATAAATGTTAAGTAAAAAAATAGATAAGTAAAAAATTAAATAACAAATAAAAATAAATAACAAATCATTAAAGAACAGCTGTAAAATAACAGTAGCGAGGCTATATACAGGGGGTACCGGTACCTAGGTAAACACAGGTTGTTTTACAGGCAGGCAGGGTCGCAGCGTTCTATCTAATACCGACTGGGTCTATATGGAGAATAAGGTTATATTTTCCCTGCACAGTTAACATGATACTTTAACTCGGAAACACTAGGAAGAGGGGAGAGCAGTTTGAAAAAACGAGAGAGAGAGAGAAATATGAGAAAATACCATGTATGTGTAGGCCTATGTGTGTGCATGGGAGGGGCGAGAAAGGGGTGGATTCTCAGCAAAGGGAGCTGATTTCTCCCTTGCTGCAGCCCCACTTGCAGCAGGCGTTGGACAGGCCCACCACCACATCACGGCCCTTACGGTCAGACATACGGAGAGCCTCCAGTACCTCCTCTGAGATGAGGGAGCGGGCTGGCCTGCTGATGAACACTCCACCCTCTTGGACCTGCTGGAAGGGACCCTCGGGGACCTGAGAGTCTGGGTTCCAGCCTTCAGATAAGTCCTCGTCATGGGAGCTGAAAGGGTCCTGAGGGAAGTCTCCTGAAATGCGGTTTATAATAGGATAGTTGAAATGTGATATTGACTCTCAGTGCTGCTCAATTTATACCATCAAAAGTCAAAGAGTGCTGTGGTAATAAACATAAATTCATATAAATGAAAAGGATGTAATCGACTGTGTGGATGTAATTGACTGTGTGGATGTAATCGACTGTGTGGATATAATCGACTGTGTGGATGTAATCGACTGTGAGGATGTAATCGACTGTGTGGATGTAATCGACTGTGTGGATGTAATCGACTGTGTTGACGTAATCGACTGTGTGGATATAATCGACTGTGTGGATATAATCGACTGTGTGGATGTAATCGACTGTGTGGACGTAATCGACTGTGTGGATGTAATCGACTGTGTGGATATAATCGACTGTGAGGATGTAATCGACTGTGTGGATGTAATCGACTGTGTGGATGTAATCGACTGTGTTGACGTAATCGACTGTGTGGATATAATCGACTGTGTGGATATAATCGACTGTGTGGATGTAATCGACTGTGTGGACGTAATCGACTGTGTGGATGTAATCGACTGTGTGGATGTAATCGACTGTGTGGATGTAATACATACCAATGGACAAAGCCAGTGATACAAAAAAAGCCAACATAGTCCTTTCCCTTTACTCAACAAACCACAAATCACTGATAAGTTGAATCAGGTGCATTACTGCTTGGCTAGAATGAAAATGTGCACAATTTAGAAACACAATGAGCCAAGAAAAGGCTTGTCCAGCCGGCATGCCTCACCTGCACTCCCGAGTGACCGTCTCCAGCGAGATCCTCCACAGGTGAAGATGACCGCCCGGATGAACTCCCGACCACAGAGCTTCACTCCATACGTGGGGCGCTCCATCCCCTGCACCCCAGCCACCAGCAGACACACAGCTAATACCAGTGCTTTCCACATCATGTCCCAGGAGGTGAAAGAACAAGTGAGCAAAAGAGGAGGAGAGAGAATAGATTCTTCAATGGCTGACTGGGCTGTTTGGAGCAGGTGTTTCTCTCTGTCTCTCTGTGGTGGCAAGTGTTGTGTGACTTCCCCAGTGACCTGGTATTGGTTTATAAAGGGGTCCTCAGCCCTACGAGGTAGACGTGGAACTTGCACACACACACAGACCCTCCAACCCAGGACAGTCATAGATATGAGCGAGAGATAGACCCAGAGACCTTTATGGAGACAAAGCACTGACCAAAGGTGGCATAATTTGCCAATAATGCCCAAACGCGACGATGATGTCAGAGTAGTTTGTAATCTGATTGCGAGAAAAACTCATTTTCTGGATGTCAAACCCACGTTTCATTTGAATCCTCATTTTGCACCTCCCTTTTACGTGGTCATCACCCACCTCAAACTCACTTGACTGACAGACATTTCTGCTCATGCAAAACGTGTTAATGTGCAGAGCCATGGTGTAGTGGCACATTTTACATACAAATCCCCACCAGACACCAGGGTTCAATCCCTGCGTCCACTGTTTCTCCCACTTGCCTGTCTCCCCACTTAATTTCCTCACTATCTGAATAAAGTGTCAAAACACCTTACTAATACATATTTAAAGTTGCAGTTATCATTGGCCATTTATGGTCTCTAAATGTCAAATTAAAATTACCTTCTTAATTCCTGTAAATTAGCAGAGATGAAAATAAGAAAAATAGGTTAGGCAATAAACTAGTCATCCATGTATCTATAGCTCTGACCTACACATGTCTCTTGTGACTCAATGTAGGCTACCTAAAAAACATTCTGTTCAAAGAGGACACACTAACATTATCAAATCTTCTAAAGGGGTACAGTAGGAATATTGGGTATGATGACACAGTTCAGAAGTGTGATGCCACCATGTCAACATGTCGGTTTAGACAAGAACAAATACCCAGTTTAGTACATACAGTATACTACAAATGGACATATGTGCTACATTTCAGTAGTGGAAGATCCAGCCTACCGACGGAGGAGGAGCTGTGACTATGGAAGACGATGAGGTGCCCGTTGAGGAGCTCCGTGGCCTGTCTGTCAGATGTCTCTACATCTATGCTCTTTCCTCTCAAGATACTACCTTTCTGAACTGCCTATCATCTAAAGATGTGGAAGACCATCGCCAAAATAATGACAGATCCCTATATTTGTTTTGTTAAATTGTTTTTGGTTTATTTTGTTTTCAAAGTGACTGAGATTCTACTTGTAATGAAAAGCACTAAATAAAATACATCTTATTATTATTATATAGAACTTATTTTAAAGTAAAACTTTATCTGTTCTCCTATACCACTTCACACTTTTTCAGTGCTGACTCTGTGTAACCCCAGCTGCTCTAATTATTCTCCTCCCATGACTGGCTTCTCCCCGCATATTTCTCCATCACTCTCTCTCTGAAAAAAGAGGGATGAGGTCACGGGTGGGGGGTTCACACAGCAAGGAGTAGGGGATGCGTGCGACAGAATGAGGCAAAGCGGGTGACATTTCCAAAGGCAGATAACATGGAAGTCATCATCTGAGTCAAACAAAGGCTGGGGCCCTATCTGTGTCACTGCATAGTCAAAGGTCTCCCGTTTCAGAATTGACAATGGAATTGTGAATTTGTAATTAATGGGTTGATAACAATGCGAACAACATGGTTTTTCAGGGGGATATTTACTTGGAGACTCATTTGCACATTGGCTAGTGGTGAGTGACCAGGTGAGGAGGTTAATAGAGCGACATCGATGGTGAGTGAATGTATTGCTTTTTGAATAAATCGTTTGTGGCCAGTATGTAGACTTTGTCTGTATACGTGTGTGTGTGTGTGTGTGTGTGTGTGTGTGTGTGTGTGTGTGTGTGTGTGTGTGTGTGTGTGTGCAAGAGCGCATTCCCTCCCCAATATGCCCCCCTAGACATAACTACCACAAAACAACCAACAAAAATGGGTCACAACTCTTGCAGCTATGTCACAAGCTGGGTCTGTACATAGTCAATGGTAAGCTTCGAGGGGATTCCTATGGCAGGTACACCTACAGCTCATCCCTTGGCAGTGGTACTGTAGATTGCTTTATCACTGACCTCAACCCAGAGTCTCTCAGAGCATTCACAGTCAGCCCACTGACACACCTACAGTGAGGGAAAAAAGTATTTGATCCCCTGCTGATTTTGTACGTTTGCCCACTGACAAAGAAATGATCAGTCTATAATTTTAATGGTAGGTTTATTTGAACAGTGAGAGACAGAATAACAACAAATAAATCCAGAAAAACGCATGTCAAAAATGTTATAAATTGATTTACATTTTAATGAGGGAAATAAGTATTTGATCTCCTCTCAATCAGAAAGATTTCTGGCTCCCAGGTGTCTTTTATACAGGTAAAGAGCTGAGATTAGGTGCACACTCTTAAAGGGAGTGCTCCTAATCTCAGCTTGTTACCTGTATAAAAGACACCTGTCCACAGAAGCAATCAATCAATCAGATTCCAAACTCTCCACCATGGCCAAGACCAAAGAGCTCTCCAAGGATGTCAGGGACAAGATTGTAGACCTACACAAGGCTGGAATGGGCTACAAGACCATCGCCAAGCAGCTTGGTGAGAAGGTGACAACAGATGGTGCGATTATTCGCAAATGGAAGAAACACAAAATAACTGTCAATCTCCCTCGGCCTGGGGCTCCATGCAAGATCTCACCTCGTGGAGTTGAAATGATCATGAGAACGGTGAGGAATCAGCCCAGAACTACACGGGAGGATCTTGTCAATGATCTCAAGGCAGCTGGGACCATAGTCACCAAGAAAACATATACAGGCCCGTCTGAAGTTTGCCAATGAACATCTGAATGATTCAGAGGAGAACTGGGTGAAAGTGTTGTGGTCAGATGAGACCAAAATCGAGCTCTTTGGCATCAACTCAACTCGCCGTGTTTGGAGGAGGAGGAATGCTGCCTATGACCCCAAGAACACCATCCCCATGCTTTGGGGGTGTTTTTCTGCTAAGGCATCAAAGGGACGATGGACGGCGCCATGTACCGTCAAATCTTGGGTGAGAACCTCCTTTCCTCAGCCAGGGCATTGAAAATGGGTCGTATATGGGTATTCCAGCATGACAATGACCCAAAACACACGACCAAGGCACCAAAGGAGTGGCTCAAGAAGAAGCACATTAAGGTCCTGGAGTGGCCTAGCCAGTCTCCAGACCTTAATCCCATAGAAAATCTGTGGAGGGAGCTGAAGGTTTGAGTTGCCAAACGTCAGGCTCGAAACCTTAATGACTTGGAGAAGATCTGCAAAGAGGAGTGGGACAAAATCCCTCCTGAGATGTGTGCAAACCTGGTGGCCAACTACAAGAAACGTCTGACCTCTGTGATTGCCAACAAGGGTTTTGCCACCAAGTACTAAGTCATGTTTTGTAGAGGGCTCAAATACTTATTTCCCTCATGAAAATGCAAATCAATTTATAACATTTTTGACATACGTTTTTCTGGATTTTTTTGTTGTTATTCTGTCTCTCACTGTTCAAATAAACCTACCATTAAAATTATAGACTGATCATGTCTTTGTCAGTGGGCAAACGTACAAAATCAGCAGGGGATCAAATACTTTTTTCCCTCACTGTATCCGATCACAGCAAAATCACAGTCTACTTGAAGAGCGCAATACTCAATCATGAGGCATCAAAGCCAAAGGAACTGCATAATACTAAGACATGCTATCGATGGAAGGAAAGTAGTGTAGAAACCTAGCAAAAAACTATTGGGCAACAACAAATTCAATCCCTTTTAGAAAACGTTTCACTGCAATAGTGAAAGTGTAAACTTGTCATTACAAAGCCTAAAGTATACTTGACTTTTCAGCTGCCTTATCAAACCTAAAAATGTCAAGCAGACAACCTAAGAAAATTAACAATGTGGTGTCTCAAAATATGTTGCTAATTATGCTGTGATGATAAGAAGTCCGCTTACACTGTACTTTGATTATAAAGGTTTATTGTATCAAAGATCACAGTATCAATTTACAGACATCTGCAGATATCTGGAGAACAACGGCCCAATCTGTTAATATGTTGTTTCTCCCCTTCTTTGTTTAAGACATGGTATTTATATCCTATGTGACATAGTATGGCATGATTTTAATAAACCAATCCCCGGCTTTCACATATCTCCAAATGTCCTCTATTCCAAGAAACCTATGTAGCAATGCTTTTCCAAATGCTTCAGCAAAGCAGAGTAAAGTTCATCTATTGCACCATTTGCAAACATCAGCAAAATCAATAGACCTTCAGACACTACAACAACAATGACAAATGGTTTGATGAAGAATGCAAAAACCTATTTTTTTTTTTTTTTAAACCTATCCAACCAAAACAATAGACCCATGTATTCCACTTGCTTTGGTAATGTATCCCACGCCAATAACAATGTAAACATACTGTATGCTTCCCACACCAATTAAGCCCTTTACATTAAATGAGAGAGAGAGAGCAGGAGAGAGAGAGAGAGAACTGAATCCAGATGGTTAACTACTCATTTTCATTCAGAGTTCACATACAACGTTGTTCTTTTAGGCTACTAAATTCACTGCTCTGCAATATAATAGTTATGTCACTTTCACTTAACCTTATTACTCTAAAAGAGCTTGTTACACTAGGTCTAGGCCTACACAATAATAAAGTTACATGCTTGCAGACCAGTGTGTCATTTAGGTGGTATTGTGTAACAAAATGTAACATTTTATTTCAACGTATTAAATAAAATAAAACGGTGATCAATCTGAGTTACAGTGTTACTAGCGTCTGCTAAATGACGTAAATGTGCCCTTGAGCAAGGCACTTAACCCTAATTGCTCCTGTAAGTCGCTCTGGATAAGAGCGTCTGCTAAATGACTAAAATGTAAATGTAAATGTAATTAACCACACAAGGTCATTGACAGTAGAATAATCGAATTTCTATCCCGGATATGGGAACCGCCTCAGTCGTTTAATTTCATGTTCATGCTGGACATGGGTTTCTCACAAATGGGATGAAGTGCTTTGTATCGACCAATTATGTGGTACTACCACTTTAAAACATGTTGGGAGTTGTCTGCCAATCAGCGCGAAGGAGGGGGAGGGAAGAAAGCGGGTGGGTAGCAACAGTTGCCCCGGTGAGGACGAAGCGCCATAGCCACGGTAGCCCTGGCGACAAGAACCCAGCAACGAGAATCAACAACAACAGCCTGAATCCTTGAAAAAAATTAAAACAAAAATACCGGTGGGAAATTCACTCGGAATCAGAGGTGAAACTCTAAACATATTAGATAGCTTACGTGTGCTTCTAACATTTCAAATGAAACATTATGTTGGATGATGCTGTTTTTTTTGCCTGTTGTTTCAGTAGCCATATATAGCAAACTGGTTGCCAACGTCGTTAGCTAGCTAACTTGCTTGTTGGCTCATCAGTAGTGTCTCTTGAAACGCGGTGTCTGAGTACATTATGCCTGACATGACGTTTTAATACCCAGGCCGTTGTTATGGCGATGTCAAATGCACGATATGGGTACAAAATGGCGGGTGTTGTAGATACGCGAGACAAGCTAACGACCGTTAGCTAGCTAGGCTAGCTCAGCTGTTGACATGCAGCTTGCTGACCAGCTCGAAGCTAATGTTAGCTAGCAGCCTACGTGCAATACCACAGTGTCGTGTGTCAAATATTGTACTAGCTTTACCTATCTTATCAGCTTCAACGCAAAATGTCCTTCTGCCTGGCTGAGACAGAGGTTGACTTGTTAGCCAACGTTTGCTAGCTAGTTTCTAGCCAATCTCACTGTGCGAGCTGATGGTAGTAGTTTGGATAGAAAACCAAAAGCTAACTAAAGATGCATTGTCATTTGGTAAATAAAGAGAAATAGCCGGCCAGCTATGCGCCAGAGGGTTTAGTTTGAGTCGCTGAGGTTTTAGTTCTCAAGCTCGTGCAAAGGCCACGAAGGCAAGAAAGGTGGCACTGGGAAGTAAAGTCAAGCAAGCGATGTAAAGAGGGGCGTGTCAGTGAGGGGCGCAACTGACTATATTATGCAGGTGTACAGTGGCAAGGACCTTGAAATATGGGAAACAAAAGAGGCATTTGCGTTCATTCCAAACAGTAGCTCATTCAGCTGGATATATATAAACTGCATTTTGTCCAAAAAAGTATATCTTCGTCTCGTTTTGGCAACAGCAAAGGTCATATATAGTTATTTGCTGAGTATTGGCTACTCAGTGAAACCCATACTATTGAATAGGCTAAAAGTGGTGAAAATGGGAGTGTTCTTGAAAACATTTTGCTTCACATCTGTAAGCCTACTATACTGTTACAAATTCCACAGAGCAGTGTCTCTTCTGTAAATGAGAGAAAGAGAGTGAGCGAAGGGTTTGGTACTTTAGGGAGAAATAGACATGTCAAGGCAAGTCCCCTGTAGCTCAGTTGGTAGAGCATGGCGCTTGCAACGCCAGGGTTGTGGGTTCGTTTCCCACGGGGAGCCAGAATGAAAATGTATGCACTCACTAACTGTAAGTCGCTCTGGATAAGAGCGTCTGCTAAATGACTAAAAGTGTAAATGTGAAAAAAGCATTCTGGCCTGTACAGTTGAAGTCGGAAGTTTACATACACCTTACCAATACATTTAAACTCAGTTTTCACAATTCCTGACATTTAATCCTAGTAAAAATTCCCTGTTTTAGGTCAGTTAGGATCACCACTCTATTTAAGAATGTGAAATGTCAGAATAATAGTAGAGAGAACGATTATTTAAAGTTTTATTTCTTTCACAAAATTCCCCAGTGGGTCAGAATTTTACATACCTCAATTAGTTTTTGGTAGCATGCCTTTAAATTTTTTAAACTTGGGTCAAACGTTTCGGTAGCCTTCCACGAGCTTCCCACAAAAAGTTGGGTGAATTTGGCCCATTCCTCCTGACAGAGCTGGTGTAACTGAGTCAGGTTTGTAGGCCTTGCTCGCACACGCTTTTTGTGTTCTGCCCACACATTTTTTATAGGATTGAGTTCAGGGCTTTGTGATGGCCCCTCCAATACCTTACTTTGTTGCCTTAAGCCATTTTGTCACAACTTTGGGAGTATGCTTGGGGTCATTGTCCATTTGGAAGACCCATTTGCGACCCAAACTTTAACTTCCTGATGATGTCTTGACATGTTTGCTTCAATATATCCACATAATTTTCCTTCCTGATGATTTCCATCTATTTGTGAAGTGCACCATCCCCCTGCAGCAAAAGCACCCCCACGCATGATGCGCAACCCCGTGCTTCACGGTTGGGATGGTGTTCTCGGCTTGCAAGCCTTCGCCTTTTTCCTCCAAACAAACGATTGTCATTATGGCCAAACAGTTTTTTTTGTTTCATCAGACCAGAGGACATTTCTCCAAAAAGTACGATCTTTGTCCCCATGTGCAGTTGCAAACCGGTAGCTGGTTTTTTATGGCGGTTTTGGAGCAGTGGCTCTTTCTAGCTGAGCGGCCTTTCAGGTTTGTCGATATAGGACTCATTTTACTGTGGATATAGATACTTTTGTACCTGTTTCCTCCAGCATCTTCACAAGGTCCTTTGCTGTTGTTCTGGGATTGATTTGCACTTTCCGCACCAAAGTACGTTCATCTCTAGGAGACAGAACGCGTCTCCTTCCTGAGCGGTAGAAAGGCTGCGTGGTCCCATGGTGTTTATAGTTGCGTATTATTGTTTGTACAAATGAACGTGGTCCTTCAGGCGTTTGGAAATTGCTCCCCCGGATGAACCGCTTGTGGAGTCTACCTTTTTTTTTTGGGGTCTGATTTCTTTGATTTTCCATATGTCAGCAAAGAGCACTGAGTTTGGGAGGGTCTAAAGGGACCCCATTGATAATATTCATTCTTCTTGCCAGTACGGATTTTCATGGTTGGCGATGTCAAATGCACGATATGGGTACAAAATGGCGGGTGTTGTAGATACGCGAGACAAGCTAACGACCGTTAGCTAGCTAGGCTAGCTCAGCTGTTGACATGCAGCTTGCTGACCAGCTCGAAGCTAATGTTAGCTAGCAGCCTACGTGCAATACCACAGTGTCGTGTGTCAAATATTGTACTAGCTTTACCTATCTTATCAGCTTCAACGCAAAATGTCCTTCTGCCTGGCTGAGACAGAGGTTGACTTGTTAGCCAACGTTTGCTAGCTAGTTTCTAGCCAATCTCACTGTGCGAGCTGATGGTAGTAGTTTGGATAGAAAACCAAAAGCTAACTAAAGATGCATTGTCATTTGGTAAATAAAGAGAAATATCCGGCCAGCTATGCGCCAGAGGGTTTAGTTTGAGTCACTGAGGTTTTAGTTCTCAAGCTCGTGCAAAGGCCACGAAGGCAAGAAAGGTGGCACTGGGAAGTAAAGTCAAGCAAGCGATGTAAAGAGGGGCGTGTCAGTGAGGGGCGCAACTGACTATAATATGCAGGTGTACAGTGGCAAGGACCTTGAAATATGGGAAACAAAAGAGGCATTTGCGTTCATTCCAAACAGCTCATTCAGCTGGATATATATTATTTTTTGGACAAAATGCAGTTTATCTTCGTCTCATTTTGGCAACAGCAAAGGTCATATATAGTTATTTGCTAAGTATTGGCTACTCAATGAAACCCATACTATTGAATAGGCTAAAAGTGGTGAAAATGGGAGTGTTCTTGAAAACATTTTGCTTAACATCTGTAAGCCTACTATACTGTTTTAAATTCCATAGAGCAGTGTCTCTTCTGTAAATGAGAGAAAGAGAGTGAGCGAAGGGTTTGGCACTTTAGGGAGAAATAGACATGTCAAGGCAAGTCCCCTGTAGCTCAGTTGGTAGAGCATGGCGCTTGCAACGCCAGGGTTGTGGGTTCGTTTCCCACGGGGAGCCAGAATGAAAATGTATGCACTCACTAACTGTAAGTCGCTCTGGATAAGAGCGTCTGCTAAATGACTAAAAGTGTAAATGTGAAAAAAGCATTCTGGCCTGTACAGTTGAAGTCGGAAGTTTACATACACCTTAGCCAAATACATTTAAACTCAGTTTTTCACAATTCCTGACATTTAATCCTAGTAAAAATTCCCTGTCTTAGGTCAGTTAAGAACACCACTTTATTTTAAGAATGTGAAATGTCAGAATAATAGTAGAGAGAATGATTTATTTCAGCTTTTATTTCTTTCATCACATTCCCAGTGGGTCAGAAGTTTACATACACTCAATTAGTATTTGGTAGCATTGCCTTTAAATTGTTTAACTTGGGTCAAACGTTTCGGGTAGCCTTCCACGAGCTTCCCACAATAAGTTGGGTGAATTTTGGCCCATTCCTCCTGACAGAGCTGGTGTAACTGAGTCAGGTTTGTAGGCCTCCTTGCTCGCACATGCTTTTTCAGTTCTGCCCACACATTTTCTATAGGATTGAGGTCAGGGCTTTGTGATGGCTACTCCAATACCATGACTTTGTTGTGGTTAAGCTATTTTGCCATAACTTTGGAAGTATGCTTGGGGTCATTGTCCATTTGGAAGACCCATTTGCGACCAAGCTTTAACTTCCTGACTGATGTCTTGAGATGTTGCTTCAATATCCCCCACAGCATGATGCTGCCACCCCCGTGCTTCACGGTTGGGATGGTGTTCTTTGGCTTGCTAGCTCCCCCTTTTTCCTCCAAACATAACGATGGTCATTATGGCCAAACAGTTCTATTTTTGTTTCATCAGACCAGAGGACATTTCTCCAAAAAGTACGATCTTTGTCCCCATGTGCAGTTGCAAACCGTAGTCTGGCTTTTTTATGGTGGTTTTGGAGGGGTGGCTTCTTCTAGCTGAGCGGCCTTTCAGGTTATGTCGATATAGGACTAGTTTTACTGTGGATATAGATACTTTTGTACCTGTTTCCTCCAGCATCTTCACAAGGTCCTTTGCTGTTGTTCTGGGATTGATTTGCACTTTTTGCACCAAAGTACGTTCATCTCTAGGAGACAGAACGCGTCTCCTTCCTGAGCGGTATGACGGCTACGTGGTCCCATGGTGTTTATACTTGCGTACTATTGTTTGTACAGATGAACATGGTACCTTCAGGCATTTGGAAATTGCTCCCAAAGATGAACCAGACTTGTAGAGGTCTACCATTTTTTTCCTGAGGTCTTGGCTGATTTCTTTTGATTTTCCCATGATGTCAAGCAAAGAGGCACTGAGTTTGAAGGTAGGCCTTGAAATACATCCACAGGTACACCTCCAATTGACTCAAATGATGTCAGTTAGCCTATCAGAATCTTCTAAAGCCATGACATCATTTCCTGGATTTTTCCAAGCTGTTTAAAGGCACAGTCAACTTAGTGTATGTAAACTTCTGACCCACTGGAATTGTGATACAGTGAATTATAAGTGAAATAATCTGTCTGTAAACAATTGTTGGAAACATTACTTGTGTCATGCACAAAGTAGATGTCCTAACCGACTTGCCAAAACTATAGTTTGTTAACAAGACATTTGTGGAGTGGTTTAAAAACGAGTTTTAATGACTCCAACCTAAGTGTATGTAAACTTCCGACTTTGTAGTAGCAGCAGTCACATTAGAGATGACTGTGATCACATTACAGGTAACGGGACACCAAATGCATGCCTTTCTTTCCCGTCAAGCCTTCTCCTCCCCCAAACCTCTTCTCTAGCTGTACCAATAACAGTCTTTGTAGGGAAAATCTCAGTCGTAAGTGAATTGACTCATTATTAGGCCCAGACAGAATATGCGTAAGGAAACAGAAGTTCCCCATGTGTATAGCAATTGAAATTATGGAATTAATTAGAAGCAGTGCTACAATGCATGAATTACTGTGGTATAATTGTTTAAAATGTGTATAATGTATGTAAACTGTGTATTCTGTCTCTAAATGTTGTCTATCACTAGCAGCACCATATCACCAAGTACAATTCTGAGTATGTGCGAATGTACATGGCGAATAAAGGTGATTCTGATTCTGGGACAGCTGTAAAACCTCCCCTGCTGGGTTCCATCTGGACTTACTGACTCAATCATGATCACATTAAGGAACAGTCTGGATGTTGATGATAGGGCTCCATTAAAGATAAAGCCATCCACCTGACATGTGTTGCATATCAAGAAGCTGATTAAACAGCATGATCATTACACAGGTGCACATTGTGCTGGGGACAATGAAAGGCCACTCTAAAATGTGCAGTATTATCACACAACACAATGCCACAGATGTCTCCATGTTTTGAGGGAGCGTGCAATTGGCATGCTGACTGCAGGAATGTCCACCAGAGCTGTTGCTAGAGAATTGAATGTTCATTTCTCTACCATAAACCGCCTCTAATGTCGAGAATTTGTCAGTACGTCCAACCGGCCTCACAACCGCAGACCATGTTTAACCACGCCAGCCTAGGATCTCCACATCTGGCTTCTTCACCTGCGGGATCGTCTGAGACCAGCCACCCAGACAGCTGATGAAACTGTGGGTTTAAACAACCGAAGAGTTTCTGCACAAACTGTCAGAAACCGTCTCAGGAAGGTCATCTGCGTGCTCATTATCCTCACCAGGGTCTAGACCTGACTGCAGTTCGACGTCGTAACAAACATGGGCAAATTCTCACCTTCGATGGTCACTGGCACGCTGGAGAAGTGTTCTCTTCAAGGATGAATCCTGGTTTCAACTGTACCGGGCAGATGGCAGACAGCGTGTATGGCGTCGTGTCGGCAAGCGGTTTGCTGATGTCAATGTTGTGAACAGAGTGCCCCATGGTGGCGGTGGGGTTATGGTTTGGGCGGGCATAAGCTACGGACAACGAACACAATTGCATTTTAAACATGACAATTCCGTCTCAAGCCAAACATGACAATTCCGTCTCAAGCCAAACATGACAATTCCGTCAGGAATTGGCAAGACAGCAGAAACAGAGTGGCACCCAGACTTCAGCTAGATCTCTTAGCTAACAAGATTGTATTTTATTTTTCACATATTCAGTGTCTGAGTCCCAGTTCTCGTGATGGCCACGACAGGCTACGTGGAGGAGTTGCAGCCCGTGACGACCCAGCCTCAAAGGGCAGCAGGTGGGAGTGTGACGGTGGCCGGACAGTCCTCCACCTCAGCCTCCGCTGCCCCACACACGGTGGTAGCTCCTACGCAGCAGTTCCTGGCCGAGCTTCAGACCACGGTGGTGGATCCTCCCACCGCTGCAGCCGCAGCAGGACAAACCACACCTCCTGCACAAGCCACTCCCACCGCGGCACAGAAGACAGCAGGTATTATTTCTGCCAGTATAATTTTTCATTTGATTGTAATACATTTATGTATAAATACAGATATCTATAGTTTCATTGATACATTTATGTACTGTTACATCATTTTGAGTCATGTCTTACAGGTATGCATCAATTCAGCTGTTTATGACAATGCGTATCATGCAATAAATAAACCCTAGTGTCTGTATCAGTTGTCCAGGTGGCACCCACACAGGCTCCTCCCCCCCAGACCCAGTATGTGACGGCTGAGATCCAGGGTTCCTCGTCACAGGCCAACAACGCCCAGAACATCCCCCAGTACATCGTGGTCACCGTCACAGGTGAGCCGGGCTCAGCATCACATCACATGCTACTGACTGTAGACCTTATTTATTTTAAGTCATGACCGTCACTAGCCTGGTCCCAGATCTGTTTGTACTGTCCTACTAACTCATATGGTCATTGTCACGCAGAAGCAAGCAAGCACAAACACATCTGGGACCAGGCCACATTATTGCTGCATTTCATTCAGAAACCTGACAACTTTAGCTAAGAATAGGTACGATATGCTTTATAGAAAATATGAATGATAAAAATAAAGAGGCATGTGCATTTATTGTAAATTACACTTCAGAATCAGATTACATTGGTGTCACGTTCCTAGATGGGACTGAGAGAGAGGAAGTAACAAGTCTCACAGCTTCCAAGCTCTGTTCTAGATCTTAAGAGAGATGTTCTGATTCACAGTTTCTTCCAAATGAGTCTAAAAACCTGCAATGAGTACAATGTCTATGACTGCTGTGAACTCTCTCCCTGTGCTCTTGCTTATCATGAAGAGGTTGTGTACTGTAATATGTGGGTATGGTGGCTCAGAGTGAAGTAACAGTTTCATATGAACAACTCTCTCGCTCTCTCTCTCCCTTCTCTCTCTCTCTCCCTCTCTCTCTCTCTCTCCCTCACACTCTCTCTCTCTGTCTCCCTTTCTCTCGTTCTCATTCTCTCTCTCCCTCACACACTCTCTCTCTCTCTCTCTCCACAGAGGGCTCTCTCCATTCAAGTGACTCTGTGTCTGACTCCAGCTCTCCTGCAGCTGTGGTACAGCAGACTGGGGTTCCCACACAGGTGGTGCAGCAGGTGCAAGCAGCACAGCAGGTAGAGGTCCCTTCCCCTCCCTCATTCACACCTGGGTCATGTTCATTAGGTACCAAACAGAAGAAAACTGATTAAAACAGGGAGGTGACTATCTGGACTTTTTTCTGTTTCATGCCCTAATGAACATGATCCTGGTAGACACATGATATTGCAACAATTACTCACTTGAAACCACACTGAAAAAAACAGTTTATTATTCACAACTCATAAGACTTGGTTCTGCCAAAATAGCGCTGACATAAAGTCTTTATGCGTCCCTTTTATATTTGGTGTACAGCATTGGTGCACTATTATGTGGAAAATGAGAAGTGATGAAGAACATGACTTGATAGTCTCAGCAGTTGTGGGTTTTACAGCAACATCCTCTGGGCAAACCAAGAAGTGATGAAAAAGTTTATCGAAACTACCATTTGCTGTTCCCTGAGAGAACTTGGCCGGAAATAGCTCAAAATACTAGTCTCTGTAGCCTATGGCGTCTAACTGCTCTCAGATAGCAAAACAGTAACCAGATGTTTTATTGTCACATACAGGTGCAGTGAAATGTGTTGTTTTACAGGGTAGCCATAATAGTACGGTGTGGAGTATGTGTTGGACAAGTCAGGACATGGGAAGAATGGGAAGCATGAGGAAACATTTTCAGCTCTCGTCACACCCAGTTTTGGCTGATGTAACAGGGCTATTATCTTTGCTACCAGACGCTATTGTCTTAGCTACACACTGTGTGAATCTATCTGTGTTGTTTTTCCTGGCCTTAGAGGTCAGTGGTGCAGGCAACTTCCCAGATCACAGCCAAGACTGAACAGGGCACCACCCAGCTGAGTGTCACCAACCTGCAGCCTGTCCACCTCACTCAGGAGGTAAGATGCACACACACACACACACTCGCTCTCAAAAAGGCATAACACACACATGCACAAGACATAAACAGAACACCACACATAACACAGAAATAAACACACACACATAACCATCCTTTGAGCTAAAGATAGTATCTATAATTCAATAACCACACACTGTATTGCATTGTATTATGTATTCCTTTGATCCTGCTGAGCCAGATAAACCTCACAACATTTCCCTCCTGGTTGGTTGGTTCCAGAGTTCGCATAGCAAACAGAGTGAGAGGGATGAGGCAGACGTAGGGAGAGACCGAGAGGTAGAGGAGGAGTGGACAACAGCAGAGCAGAGCAGGACAGACACACAGTACTTTGCATGGGTGCCGTCAGACAGACACACAGACATGCAGACAGACGGACACAGCCTCCAGGAGTACACCTCCTACATCCCCCTCTCCCTTCCCCTGGCCTTCCCTCCCTTCGCCTTGCCCCTGTCGGTGCTCTCGCTGGGCTGGGAGGGGATGGAGATGGGAGGCTACCCCGCGGTCACCACAGCCCAAGGACAGCCACTCCTGTTTGACGCAGCCTCTGCCCTCAGAGTAGGTCAATTAGGTAGAATTTCTGGCTTAGTCTCCCATTGATATCAGTACACAACTAAGTGCAGTTTTAACCTAAAGATGCACTATGCAGAAATCGCTCCGCCATTTCCTGGTTGCTAAAATTCTAATAGTTCACCTAATTTCAGTTTATGTGACAAAACAAGCAAGTATAGTGTAGAAAATCATAGTTTTTTTTACATTTTATTTTATTTAACCTTTATTTAACTAGGCAAGTCAGTTAAGAACAAATTCATATTTACAATGAAGGCCTACACCGGCCACACCCTGGACGATGCTGGGCCTATGGGACTCCCAATCATGGCCGGATTGTTATACAGCCTGGAATTGAACCAGGGTCTGTAATGACGGATATGCAGTGCCTTAGACCGCTGCGCCACTCGGGAGCCCATCTAAACCACTGTGAAATATATTTTCCATAACCAAAAATATTTTATTTTCAGCTGAAGCTGGTGTACAAAACCTAGTAAAAGACGCAAAAAACGAAACTTAAGAACAGGTAGCAGAGAAATGCATAGAACAGATCTACCGCTTCTTAGACTTGCTTTCAATGAGAATGGCAGATCCATAACACACATTTATATGTGAATGTAATCAAGTCACCCCAAAAATTACATATTGCAGCTTTAAATGGAAGTTTGGATTTGCCTCTATGTAGGGATCCTAGGGAGGCTATCAGTGGGTAACAGAGTGTAGTGGGATTAAAGCAGAGACAACACAGTAGGTAGGAAAGAGCGATGTGAAGGGGAAGAGGAGCAGCTTGCAAGTCAAGGTCATTTTCCTATTGAAGTGAATGAGCCTGTGATTGATGTGGTATCCCTCATGATTGACTACGGTTTAAATATTTGGACACACTTCAAAGGAAATTGGAGGAGGTGGAGTAGATTAGTGTTTTGACCGACTCTGTGTGTATACTCATGCCTGCGTGTGTGTGTGTGTGTGTCCCAGGTGCAGCAGCAGCTCCAGCAGGTGCCAGTGCAGCATGTGTACACCAACCAGGTGCAGTATGTTGAAGGGGGAGACAACAACTACACCACCAGCACCATGTAAGCTTTCCTCTCCACTACTCTCTCTGAACACTACCTGTCTATATTGATATAATGCTATGCTAATATGCTTATATAGTTTGTTAACTGTTGCTAACTAGCTAGCTTGATCACCTCAACTTCTAAAACTAGACAGTGGAGTTGGCCAGACAGCACAGACAGATCTGGGACTGCTATTTTTGTGATGCAGTGGTTTAGCTTTCAAGACAACAGTTAAACTACCGAATTTGAAACTAACTCCCCCTCTCTCCTCCCCTGCTCCCTTCCTCCCTCCCCCCCCCCTCACCCTCCCTCTTTCCAGTCGTTCAGGCAGCTTCACCTACACAGACACCCCTCTGTACACCCAGACCACCGCTGCCCCTTACTACGAAGCCCCTCCCACCTCTGGCTCACAGGTCACCACCACCGGCACACCCCTGACCGTCTCCGTGACAACGGGCTCTGCCGGTGGTGTGTCTATGTACGTGGCTGGCACAGGCCAGATCGTGGCCAATCCGGCAGCTGCCGCTGGGGGCGGGGCGACAGTGGTGGCGACAGGGGGAACAGCCAATGGGGCTGGGGAAGGGGCGGGGGCTAATGGCAGCGGGGGCAGCTATGTGATCCAGGGGGGGTACATGCTGGGCGGCAACAGTCAGGGGGGCTACTCCTCCCACAACGCCCGCTCCTCTCCTGCCACCGTTAGTATAACAGAGGGCGAGGAGGGTAGCGGCGTACCGTCAGCAGACAAAAAGGTATGCAGAGATGCCAATCTCAACACTATTCTCTTACACACACACCTATCAGTGTTCTGCTAGTCTCAGTACTAGACTGTTGGAGGGACATGGCTGTTCTGCTAGTCTCAGTACTAGACTGTTGGAGGGACATGGCTGTTCTGCTAGTCTCAGTACTAGACTGTTGGAGGGACATGGCTGTTCTGCTAGTCTCAGTACTAGACTGTTGGAGGGACATGGCTGTTCTGCTAGTCTCAGTACTAGACTGTTGGAGGGACATGGCTTCATCATGTTTTCATGTTATAGCAGTGCATCTTATGGAAGAGCAACTTTGATTGAAATAAGTCAACTCTGTATTCTTATTCAAATTCCTCCTATTGTAAACTGTCTGTTTGGCAAGCATCCCATCACTATTTATATTTGTAAATATGAGTAGTGTGTGTTTGTTGACTAACCCATCCATCTCTCCTCTCTCTCTGTGTCTCCCTCTCTGCCAGGTGCAGTGGCTGCTAGATAACTATGAGACAGCTGAAGGGGTCAGTCTGCCTCGCTCCACCCTCTACTGCCACTACCTGCTGCACTGCCAGGAGCAGAAGCTGGAGCCCGTCAACGCTGCCTCCTTTGGGAAGCTGATCAGATCTGTGTTCATGGGGCTACGCACGCGCCGCCTGGGCACCCGGTGAGAGGGGTTATGTCATACAGACACCCAGAAGCACACACAAACAAATACACACAGATGAACACATCCATGCAAACGCACACAGGCACAGTGATGCCCCAAAAGCATAGGCTGAATCAGAGGCTGAGTTGTGTGTGTGTTCCAGGGGGAACTCCAAGTACCACTATTACGGCCTGAGGATCAAGGCCTGCTCCTCTCTGATCAGACTGATGGAGGACCAGCAGCATCTGGCCATGAGACAGCAGCCCTTCTCTCAGAAACAGAGGTGGGCTATCAACCTCTCTGTCTCACTTGCTCTCTCTGTGTGTGTCTCTCTCTCTCTCTCTTCTTTCACTCTCACAGTGCCTCTCAATCGCTGTCCCCCTCTAGCACTCTTAACAGTTGCTCTCTTTCCTACCCACTCTCTCTCTCTCTCTTTCCTCCCCTCTCACTCTCTCTGTCTCCCTTTCTCTCATTTCATTTCTGTATTTCTGGCCTTATTCCTATAACTTATTGTGTCATTTTGTTTTATCTCTCTCATTGAAGCCTCTCTGCTGTATAAAGGAACTTCATTGTTTTTATAATTAACTCCGCCTCCCTAGGTTGAAGCCGGTGCAGAAGGTGGAGGGGATGACCAATGGCATGGCGGCAGGCTCGGGCCAACAGCAGCAACAGCAGCAGGGGGCGGGGCTCTCTGACATCAGCGCCCAAGTGCAGCAGTACCAGCAGTTCCTGGGTGAGGGGGTGGGGGGTGTCAGGTCTGTCAACACTAGGGTTATTTGGGGTAACACCTTATTGTACCGTCCTGGTGTTTACATCATGTGATAACAATAAGAACTGGAGTTAATGAGTAACTACTTCACTTAGTGCTTGTTTAAATGATCCCCAAAGAAACAGAAGAGGGATTACAATGTACATACTATATAATAACATTTTACCATATTTTATCAAGTACAGTAGAGAGATACAAAAATACGAATCTCAGAGTTACAGACTGACTGGTTAACGGAATGGACAATATTGAACCTGGACATTTATTAAAAACTAACAAATTAACTTCAGTAGGTTACAGACTGTGCTAAAAACAGGTCAGACATTTACAGTATCTGGCTTGTGTAAATACACAATTCATATTGTCTTCCGTCCCCATTCAGACGCGTCCCGGACCCTCCCAGAGTTCCCTGACCTTGACCTGCAGGGGAAGGCCCTACCGGAGGGCATAGAACTGGAGCACATCAAGAGCTTCCAGCTGCTGTATCGGGAACACTGTGAGGTGCCTGTCTGTATGTCACACTGATTGTTTATATGTACAGTATGTTACTGTGTGTCTGTCTGTCGGCAAAGAGGCCTACCTCTGTCTGTATGTCTGTCTACACAGAGGCCTACCCTTGTCTCCATGTCTGTCTACATAGAGGCCTACCCCTGTCTGTATGTCTGTCTGCACGGAGGTCTACCCCTGTCTGTCTGTACAGAGGCCTACCCCTGTCTGTCTGTACAGAGGCCTACCCCTGTCTGTCTGTACAGAGGCCTACCCTGTCTGTCTGTACAGAGGCCTACCCTGTCTGTCTGTACAGAGGCCTACCCCTGTCTGTCTGTACAGAGGCCTATCCCTGTCTGTCTTCTGTACAGAGGCCTACCCCTGTCTGTCTGTACAGAGGTCTACCCCTGTCTGTCTGTACAGAGGCCTACCCCTGTCTGTCTGTACAGAGGTCTACCCCTGTCTGTCTGTACAGAGGCCTATCCTTGTCTGTATGTCTGTCTGCACGAGGTCCTACCCCTGTCTGTCTGTACAGAGGCCTACCCCTGTCTGTCTGTACAGAGGCCTACCCTGTCTGTTGTACAGAGGTCTACCCTGTCTGTCTGTACAGAGGTCTACCCCTGTCTGTACAGAGGTCTACTCCGTCTGTCTGTACAGAGGCCTACCCGTGTCTGTCTGTACAGAGGCCTACCCGTGTCTGTCTGTACAGAGGCCTACCCGTGTCTGTCTGTACAGAGGTCTACCCGTGTCTGTCTGTACAGAGGTCTACCCTGTCTGTCTGTACAGAGGTCTACCCCTGTCTGTCTGTACAGAGGTCTACCCTGTCTGTCTGTACAGAGGTCTACCCCTGTCTGTCTGTACAGAGGTCTACCCCTGTCTGTCTGTACAGAGGCCTACCCCTGTCTGTCTGTACAGAGGCCTACCCCTGTCTGTCTGTACAGAGGTCTACCCCTGTCTGTCTGTACAGAGGCCTACCCCTGGTGTATGTCTCATTGTTCATTCATCAGTTCTTGTATAGTCCTGTTATGTACATGTAATCTGTACGTCTCACTGTTGTTTCTGTCTGGCCAGCTGTACTATGCATCCTTTGCATAAAGGGAGGAGCTAAGCTAGTTGATACTGATGCTGCTGGTGTTCCCTCTTTGTTTACAGGCTATTCTGGACGTGACGATCAACCTGCAGTTCACCCTGGTGGAGACCCTGTGGAAGACCTTCTGGAGGTTCGAAGAGAGCCAGAGTGGAGACACTGGCACACTGGCTGTGTAAGTCTTGTCCTGGGACTTCAATATGCTACTAAAGCAATTGTCATTTTTTGATATCAAGTAATTTTTTAGAGACGCCTGTGTCATTTTCTAATGTATCTGTATTGTTGTAACAGACATGATGAGTCTGAGAAGCGCCTGCCCAAGGATTGTCTAGTGATCTTGTGTAAGTACGACCCTGTGCTCCGCTGGAGCCGCGACTGTGACAACACCCTGTACCAGGGCCTGGTGGAGATCCTCATCCCCGATGTGCTGCGGCCCATCCCCAGTGAGTTATAGCGCACTACATAACACTACATAATACTGATAAAACTACATAGCAGTATAGAGTGCCTTCAGAAAGTATTCACACCTCTTTACTTTTTCCACATTTTGTTGTGTTACAGCCTGAATTTGAAATTGATTAAATTTGAGATTTTTTGTCACTGGCTTAGACACAATACCCCATAATGTCAAAGTGGAATTATGTATTTAGAAATTTTTACAAATTCATTCAAAATGAAAAGCTGGAATGTCTTCAGTCAATAAGTATTCAACCCCTTTGTTATGGCAAGCCTAAATAAGTTCAGGAGTAAAAATGTACTTAACAACTCACATAATAAGTTGCTAACACTCACTCTGTGTTCAATAATAGTGTTTAACATGATTTTTGAATGATTACCTCTCTGTACCCCACACATACAATTATCTGTAAGGTCCCTCAGTCGAGGAGTGAATTTCAAACACAGATTCAACCATAAAGACCAAGGAGGTTTTCCAATGCCTCGCAAAAAAAGGGCACCTATTGGTAGATGGGTAAAAAAAAAATACAGACATTGAATATCCCTTTGAGTTATTAATTACACTTTGAATGGTGTATCAATACACCCAGTTACTACAAAGTTACAGGCGTCCTTTCCTAACTCAGTTGCTGGAGAGGAAAGAAGCCGCTCGGGATTTCACCATGAGGCCAATGGTGACTTTAAAACAGTTACAGAGTTGAATGGCTGTGATAGGAGAAAACAGAGGATGGATCAACAACATTGTAGTTACTCCACTAACCTAATTGACAGAGTGAAAAGAAGGAAGCCTGTACAGAATACAAATATTCCAAAACATGCATCCTGTTTGCAACAAGGCACTAACGTAATACTGCATTAAAAATGTGGCAAAGCAATTCAATTTCTTGTCCTGAATACAAAGTGTTATGTTTGGGGCAAATCCAACACAAAACATTACTGAGTACCACTCTCCATATTTTCAAGCATAGTGGTGGCTGCATCATGTTATGGGTATGCTTGTAATCGTTAAGGACTGGGGAGTTTTTCAGTATAACAAAAGAAACAGAATGGAGCTAAGCACAGGCAAAATCCTAGAGAGAAACCTGGTACATTCTGCTTTCCACCAGACACTGGGAGTTGAATTCACCTTTCAGCAGGACAATAACCTAAAACACAAGGCCAAATCTACACTGAAGTTGCTTACCAAGAAGACAGTGAATGTTCCTGAGTGGCCGAGTTACAGTTTGACTTACTGTAAATCTGTTTGAAAATCTATGGCAAGACCTGAAAATGGTTGTCTAGCAATGATCAACAACCAATTTGACAGAGCTTGAAGAATTTTGAAAATAATAATGGGCAAAGGTTGCACAATCGATGTGTGGAAAGTTCTTAGAGACTTACCTAGAAAGACTGACAGCTGTAATCGCTGCCAAAGGTGATTCTAACATGTATTGACTCAGGGGGTTGAATACTTGTTTTATTTTTTATTATTTGTTTTTTTACAAATGTTAGAACTTTTCTTCCACTTTGACATTGCATAGCATTTTGTGTAGATCGTTGACAAAAACGGACAATTAAATCCATTTGAATCCCACTTTTTACACAACAAAATGTGGGAAAAGGTGTGTGAATACTTTCTGAAAGCACTGTATAACCCTACATAGCACAACATTACACTATATTAAAGTACACATGACATAGCATTATGCTGCACTACATTATACTATCTGACACGACATAGCACTATATTACACTAATTTATCTACATGACATGACATAGGCCTGGTGGAGCTCCTACATAACACAATAAAACACAGTGTCAGAGATCCTCAACTCTCAAAGCAGTTTGGAGTTCAAGGACATACTGCTCACCACCACATAGGAGAGCACATTCAGTTCAGACCGGTTTCAACCCCTCTCTCTCTCCTGTCCACAGGTGCCTTAACTCAAGCCATCCGCAACTTTGCCAAGAGTCTGGAGAGCTGGTTGACCAACGCTATGATGAACATCCCAGAAGAGATGGTCCGCATCAAGGTGTGTGTCTGCTTGCATGTGTGTTGGGCAGCATGTGTTGGTTTCTGCGGTGTGTCCTTGGTGAGGTCACGCTCTCTTTTCTCACTTCCTCCTCTTGTCCTCCAGGTGACGTCGGCCAGTTCGTTTGCCCAGACGCTGCGCAGGTACACCTCTCTGAACCACCTGGCCCAGGCAGCCAGGGCCGTGCTACAGAACACAGCTCAGATAAACCAGATGCTCAGTGACCTCAACCGTGTCGACTTCGCCAACGTTCAGGTCCGTCTGACCTCTCACCTCTGGTTACAGTGTAAAGTGACAGTCAGACACTATCCAGACCATAGACATGTCATTATATTCATATGATGCAGACCAGCACTGATGGTGATCACTGTAGTGTTTGTTTGGTAGATGTAGTATAGTGTCCTAAAGCTCTGTGTGTGCTGTTGTTGTTGTTGTCGTGCTGACATAACCCAGGTGGCCTATGTTACCTTGTCATTCAACTATTATATTTTACAATTGTGAAGTGACAATAATATAAGAGACAGGATACTGACGACTCTCTCTCTTTCTTTCTCTCCTCTTCCTCCCCTCTTTCTCTCTCTCCCCCTCCTCTCTCTCCCCCTCCTCTCTCTCTTTTCCTCTTCCACTCCTCCCTCTCTCCCTCTCCCCCTCCTCCCCTTTCTCTCGCTCTCTCCCTCTCCTTCCCTCTCTCTCCATACAGGAGCAGGCGTCGTGGGTGTGTCGCTGTGAGGACCGTGTGGTGCAGCAGTTGGAGCAGGACTTCAAGCTGACCCTGCAGCAGCAGAACTCTCTGGAGCAGTGGGCTGCCTGGCTGGACGGGGTGGTCTCCCAGGTCCTAAAGCCCTACCATGCCAGCGCCGCCTTCCCCAAGGCCGCCAAGCTCTTCTTGCTCAAGTGGTCCTTCTACAGGTGAGAATGGTATTAGTCTCATCTAGTCCCATGACTGCTAAATACGGTTGAACATTTCTGGTAATTTCACACATTTTCCCAGGTTTTCCAGAAATCACGATTGGAGTATTACCAACTAGAATCAAAATGTGAATAAGCAGGGAGGGAATCCTCCAACTGGGATGTCTGGAAAACTGGGAAATTTGGGAAAGGTCCTGGAATTTTACAACCCTACTGCTCAGAGATGTTTTTTTCCTTGTTAGTCAGGAAATCCAGATTTGTTTTATCCATGCCAAACTCCTCCTCCTCCTCTCCATCCAGTTCCATGGTGATTAGAGACTTGACTCTGCGTAGTGCTGCCAGCTTCGGATCCTTCCACCTGATCAGACTGCTATATGATGAGTACATGTACTACCTGATAGAACACAGAGTGGCCCAGGCTAAAGGAGAGACACCCATCGCTGTCATGGGAGAGGTACACACACATATATACACATGCGCACACACACACACATACACACGCGCACACACACACACAGTGGTCCAAGCCAAAAAAGCTAATGTGCTGTTGATATTAGTTACCATTGTTCAATTGTTACCATTAGACACTAACTCATTTCCTGTGTCTCTCAGTTCGCCAGTCTTGGCAGGAGTTTGAACCCACTGGATCCAGACAAAGGTAACTACCGTCCACGTTGTTTGATACAAAGCACATGCAGCCAGACATAAAGCTACTTATTGAGGATTGCCCAATCCCAAATCAATCCCTACCCCTTACGCATTTGTGGAGATCTGAGAGCATAGGGGGTAGGGGTTAGGGACTGATTTGGGATTGGGCAATCTATTCCCATAACCATGGTTTCTGATATTAACCCTCCTCCCACTTGTGTCTGTCTTCCAGAAGAGGAAGAGGAGGAGGAAGAGGAGAGCGATGACGAGTGTCAGGAGCTGTCTCTGCCCTCTGACGGGGCGGGGCTGGGGGAGGAGTCTCTGGAGCCGCCTACCAAGCTGGCTAGAACCGACCAGAGAGTACTCTTCACCACGGGCCAGGACTGATCACACACACACTGATACACACATGCACAAACACACATCCATTCACAGACGTACACACATGAACACATTGATTGATACACATTTGTATACACACATACACCAAGATACACTAATATGTACACTAGAGGTTGACACAGGAGTGAAAATTCATTCCTGTTCCTGTGGATTGTCGATCCTGTCCTGTCCCGAACATGACTCTAGAACTTGACTCCCATTCCTGACAGACCTGTTCCCGTGTCAACCTCTAATGTACAGTTTCTACACACATTTGAGTGTAGATAATGTACACACACACACACACACAGTCCCAATAAGGTCTGTATGGCACAAATCTGCTGTAAGCACAGATACCACACATGCATGGATGGGCACACAATCATCGGTCCAGCGTTGCTGGACAAAGGCCACAGGGTGAACTTACACACACACATACCCGACCCAAGGACTGAAGAGAAAGTGTTTGTTGTCACTTGGATGGATCTGTGTATTGAACAAGGACCTCCCATGTTTCTCTGTATTGGTGTCACTGAATGACAACAGGGCAGCGCAATGTACATGCCAACCTGGGCTACCCTTCCAACAACTGTCTGCTGTACCAAGGTGGTCCTGAAGATATGACTGTTAACAGTTCATCCTCCCTTACCCAACCCTTCTGTATAGGGAGGAACGGAGGGAGGAATAGGATGAAAGAGGAAATGGCTGCTTACGATTCTGCAGTTCTAGGTGGTCCATTTAGCTGTCAATCAAAGCCCAAGAGCCAATCAGGAGATGGGGCCTGTGGGTGACAGCAGATAGACTGTAAAGGGAGTTGTTGTGTGTGTGTGTGTTTTTGATGCCCGTGGGTGTGTGTGTGTGCGTGCACTGGAGTCCTACTGCTGTGCTATATTTGTAGTGTGAGAATGAACGTGTGTTGATTTTTGTGATCGTGTGTGTGTGTCTTGTAACGTGTGTCTGGTTGTACGATAGTTGAGTCTGTGCTTCAGAAGAAGTGTTGACTGTATATTTGGTGGATATTTTCAAAAGCATTCAAAATCATTTGGGGCGAATTTTTTATTTGCTGTTTTCTTTAATTATTTTTTTCCTGAAAAAGAGTGTCAGGGTTTTGGGGGTTCCTGTCACAACCACTCACACACAAAAGATAAAACCCTGGTTTAAAGGCGTTTCCATGTCAACCCCATGGATGTGGAAAAGTAGTCCCATAATTTCTCTCACCTGCAGTGTCCCTCTGCCTCTGCTGAATGTGCAGTTCTGTAAAGGGGCTCAGTTCAATATATATTCCTGTTTGTGTGTTCAAGTGCTTCATTGCCATCTGTTTTATTGGTTTCTGTTGAGACCTTTGTGGCCTCTTGTTGTCCACACGTCATTGCTCCAGCCTTATTTTATTTTTATGTTTGTTTGTCTTTTTCTTTTCTGTGCCAAACATTGCTGATTTCAAATAATTACTTTGTTTGTTTGTTTACATGTTCCAAGAAGGACTGTGCTGGACTGAGTTAAGATGTGATAATATTGATAATATAATTATATATATGTGTGTCACTCTATTTCCTTTTCATTGTCACAAAGTGAACCTTCCTTTGTCTGGTGATGTGGAGTCAGTCTGTCACACACTAGGTATATTTTGTGTGTATGTGTATTTACTGAGATTCGTTATTGATTGTGTACGTTTGATTTCAGTTCTCCTCAAGTGAGCTCTCCATACATACACAGGCCTAGGGTCCTGCTTCGTTTGCCCAGTCACCGTCAATGACTGTCCTTTAGATGGTCAGATATCAGTAGCCTGGTCCCATATCTGTTTGTACTATCTTGCCAACTCCTGGTGTGACAATGACCATAGAAGTTGGTGAGACAGCACAAACCAATCTGGGACCAGGCTAGAATATAACAGTTCTGCCTATTTATCACAGACCGTCTCCACTTCGAGATCCCTATAGATCTCTTCCATGTACAGTACTGTATATCTGTGTCTGATGGAATCGCAGGGAACAGGTGTAAGGTACTCTGAGAAAGACCTTACAGTCGGTGTCATTGCTGTATGGGTTTAGCCTGGTCCCAGCACAAACAGATCTGGGATCAGGCTCGATGTGAAACGAGACAGGAGAACCACAGTCACCTTATCTTCCTCTACATGTCTCACTCGTTTCCTTCCTTCCTGCCAATGTTTTTCTGCTGTTTTTTGTTAAAGCCATTTTCTTAGAACATTGTCCACCACTATCGGTTCAGTTGTTGAACATGTATTGTTTGAACATTTCATTACATTTAAGTGTCACAAGAAAGTTTTCAAAGGCTGCAATGCATGTCTTGAGCACGCAGCGTGGACCTCTAAACCAGCATGTTTTACCCTCTGGGGCGTCTGCTGCTACCACAGCTGTTGACATATCACTCCGATGTCCTGCGGATCTCCCTATACACGATGGCCATTCTTTTCCAGACAAAAATGTTTTGTCATTTTTATAGTGTTCAGTTTCTTATTTCTAAAAACAAAAACGGTATTGTGTGGCAGTGTTTTATGAATTTGGTCAACTACAAGTATGACTGTGCCTTTGGGAGGTTGTAGAATGCACTTCAAATGTTTTTAATTTTAAAGATATAAAATAAATTAAGAATTTTTAAAATTGTCACGTTGTCACAACCCTTGCCTTTTTTTTCTCTTCACATTGTCAGACACTTGCCTTTGTACATTTCAGTGGAGAAAACAAACTAGTTTCCGTTTGAGCAGGGTATGAGGACTGCTATTGTGATGTTTCGAAAGTATGTACTTTCCATAACAGTGTCTGGGGTGTATTCATTAGTGCAACAGAAAACGTTTTTAACTGATTTGTTTTTCTCCAATTGGACAAATTTAGGTAGGTCCCTCCGCATTTCATCCTGTTTGCTTCCGTTTGGTTCCTAGTGAATACACCCCTGGTCTGTCACATGGTCTTTGTGGCAAGCACTGCTCAGAAGAGCTCAGGTTCAGCTTCCTGTCCCCTTTTGGTGTGACAAGAAAGGAGACAAGAATTGAGACCTGAAACCTCACTGTAATACTTATACACACACAAACGAAGGACCACAGTAAATTCATGTTCCTGAAAGCAGACTGTGGTCATGTCACATTGGGGCTTTAACCTACATTGTAATAGACTGTGGTGAAAGCACATAGAAAGGCTATAAGTTGTTTACTTACTCTTTGTTAGACATTTTGTTAATGTGTCTATATGGTTGTCTACATGCTGATACAACTACAGTTGAGGTAGTCTCATGTAGCCATGCAGGCACTAGTAAATCTAGAATTCTGGAGGTGAGGCTACACAAGGCAGCTTTCTAGTGACCCTTAGTGGTGGGAATGGGATGGCAGGGCTGAAAGACATCTGATTAGGCAAACACTGGTCCTGTTTAGCTTTATAACACCCTCCTGATGTCCTTGAAGTTATAATTAGGTTGTACTGGTTGAATAGTGGAAATAATTCACTCATTTATAAAGCATTATGGAACACACACTGACAGAAACAAAACTGGACACACAAAGTAAAAAAACATGTTGACGTTTCGCCCTTTTAATTCAACAGAATATTGCTGCTGGTGGTCATTTTATTCACAATATCAACACTGTGCACTGCAAAATGCAGACTCCAATACAGTGCCCAAGCTGCCATTCTTCCTCAATAGTTAACAGTGATTCAACATTTCTGCAAGTCTGGGTCATGTTCATTAGTGCACATCGTACCAAAACATTTTGCAACAGAAAATGAGTGCTTCTTATTGGACAAGTCCAGTAGTCCCTCCCCGTTTCAGTCCGTTTAATCCCTTATGAACACGACCCTGGCGTTAACCTCAACAACCACAGATTGCCATCTTATTGAGACACAATGCATGACTTCACCAATAGTTTATTCCAGTGCAGCCTTTACTCACTCTGAATAGGGCCAGGAGTTTTTCCCAACAAGGGACCCTAGTTAGGGTTGCAAAATTCCATTTATTTCAATAAATTCGCTGCTTTCCAAGATATTCTGGTTGGAGGATTCCGGATTTCCTGCTAATTCCCTCCTGATTCCAGGAACCCTCCAACCGGGATTTTGGGAAAACCAGGGAATTTATTGAAAGTTCACAGAATTTTGCAACCCTAGCCCTGGTTAAAGCCTATAACTAGGGCCAAAAGCTTTTTCCCCGGGCAGGGAAAACTCCTGGTCCCAATTACCATCACAACGTGATCTAACTGGTGGGAGGTCAGGATATCTTTTATTGGGACTTTATTCAAAACAAGCAATTGAAAAATAAAAACCAAAACGTAAAACACCGGGTCACAGATCAAGGAAAACTTAAAACACCATTTGTCTCCCGTGCAACAGGGTTGAGTTAAACAGCCTAGTGTTATGTGATGTATGCAGGAGTCAACTTCCCATTGTAGATATACCCGTGGCTATGTTAACTAGCGTTCCACAATCACTGAAGTCTTCCACTGTGCTACCACACAAACACTCACACAGACACGCACGTTTATCATCACTTGTGAGGACACATTCTAACACTGTACAGTCACACACACACAAAGGAAATCAAAAATATAATTCACGGAACATAAATCAAAACTCTAAATGTATGGAGACCAAGCGACTTGGGTGGTGGGAATGTTCCAAATGAAGGACAAATCAAACTACAGAGCAATTAAAATCATCACCTTTAAAAAGCAAAACCTCCCACTCTTAATCATTTCACTATTAATGTAATTAAATGTTATCTTTATAAATCAATGTTAATTTCAGTAAATGCAGTATTAGTAGTGTAGGACTATAAGTAACTGTAGTAAATTAAATCTGTGGTAAATAAAATAAAACAATGGGGAAGTGCGATTTCATTGGGTGAGTGATGAGCATTTCAGGACGTAAGCATGGTTCAGAGTTCAAATCTCCCATGTTCATGTTCTTGATTGACAGATGACGGAGAAAACAAGGGAAGGTTTCAGGGAACCAAAATGAAAGATAACAGCCCTGGAAATCCAACCCATTATTCAGCTCACAGGCAAAGCACTAGAATTGTATTTATTTTTTGTTCTCTTCGCATATTTATTGAAACAATTGGTGAGTTGGGGGATGTGGAAGGGGAGGGACGGGGAAAGGACTGCCAGCACAGAATCCCTTCAGAACAAAAACTTGAAAAAAAAACTTGAAAAAAAAATTTAAAATGTTGACTGGTTGGGTTAAGAAGTAGTAGTAGTCTTCTTTATTTTCTCTCTAGGAGTCTCAGCCGAGGCCTCTCACTGTGTCTGGAGAGAAAGAACAGAGTAAGAGTACCGAGTCAAAGCTCCACAACAACCAGTAACATCTTCAGCCTGGACGCCAAAAACAGACTGCAACCCAGGCCAGTACACCTCAGGAGAGAACGCACACACCTACGCAATATACAAAACAACTTGTTATACATACAAATCTGAGTACTCTCACAGTACACACAGACTGTAACTTTACCTGCTGGCCTTGCTGAGGGGTGGCAGGCTGTCCTGGGGCCTGTCCTGTCTGGCCGTAGTAAGCAGCCTGCTGCCTGTAGTACTCTGCCCAGGCTGCACTGTAGTCCTGCTGGCCTCCACCTGGGGCACCTGCTGGCCCCGCTGCAGAGCCTCCTGCCTGGGCTGGGGGAGCAGAAGAGAGGGGGTCTTATGGATGAAGAAGAGACATGCTATGATCGACAAGGTTAATATGATTAATGTTCTTAAAGCGCTGGTTCACTTCAAAATTAAAGTTTGTCAGACGATTTTAGACCTTGAAAGTAATCTAACGTCAAGCAGAGTCAACAGCCCACAACATCTGTTGTGTAGAGCCAGCTATAAGCCTCGATACAAAATTAAATGTGAAAGATAGACACTGTCTAAAATGACAAAATTAGACAGTGCCCATCTTTCCTATTCTAAGAGGGAAACAATTGCTCCCTTTCCTCTTGTGGTGTTACTATAGTGCTCTACAGTAGACCAGTAGTGTTTCTATAGTAACTACAGTAGACCAATGGTCTCACCGACACCCATCTTCTTGTAGTACTCCTCCCAGGCCTTGGTGTAGTCAGGCTGGCCCCCGGGGGTCTGGCTGGCCTGGGGCTGGTCTCCGGGTGCGGGGCCACCAGCGGTGGGGTTGGCGGGGGGCTGGCCGGGCACTGCTCCCCCTGGCTGCCCTCCCTGGTAGTACTGGCCATAATAGGCTGCCCAGGCTGCGTTAGGGTCCGCGGCGCCGGCTGCCTTGCCTAAAAAAGATGGCAGTTGGAGGTGAGGTCCTCATAGGGCTGAGCGTGCCCTGCTACCTGCATGTGCTTAGAAACCAGGGGGCAGAGAGAGATAGGGCAAGTTATTATCAATAGCCAACACAGAAAGACATTCTCCCATCACAGATGATTTTGATAATAGTTCCTGGGTTATGTACCACTAAAAGCTAGCCTGGCCCCCAGTTTGTGCTGTACTCCTATGGTCATTGTGACACCAGACAATAAAGTTTGCGAGACAGCAGAAACAGATCTGAGACCAGGCTAACTAAAGCCTGCTCTCTGTTGTAACCACTGTTTTGAAATAACCAACAAGGAGACTATATGGTAGGAAACTCCAAGAGACCACTGGTAGGCTAGGTGGAGTTGACTTCATATTGCTTTCCCTTTCTCAGTCTTTTCAAATAAGTGATTACAGCGAGAGAAAACATTGAGAGGCCATTGAAAGTTAGTCTCAATGTAACCATTTCCCTGTCAACAGTGAGGGTCTGAAAGTTCAATGTTGCAGGTCACTCACTGGGGTCATGGGGTGCTTGGGGCTGCCACTGCTGGTAGGTGTTGCCCCAGCCCTGTGGGGGGTAGCCATGAGGACCACCACTGGGGAGAAGAGAGAGAGAACCCAGTTACTGCTCAGTACAGACTTCCATTGGTCCAATCAATGATTGTATCTCTGTAATGGAAAATTTTAGCAAGTAGAGGCTAGTAAAAGCCATTGTCTGATGACTACATCATGTGTTTTTCTGTGTCCACTCACTGTGGTCCAGGGGGTCCTGGGTTATAGGGACCAGGATTATAGGCACCCATGGGGCCTGGTCCACCAGGACCTGGACCAACAGGACAGAGAGGACCCTGCAAAACACAACCAGTTAATGCATGGACATTATGTTCACATCTATGGTGAAAAGACAAAGCAAATCAATGGCCAGTTTGACTCCATTGATTGTGCGTAGAAGCAATCATGTCCATTTCCCCAGATGAGTTTCCCAACACCACAAACCCATCCATCCTTCCGCCCTTTCCTCCTTACCCTGAGCAGGAACCCTGCATACCTCGATCTTGTCCTCGATCAGCTGCTTGGCGTGGTCTATCTGCTGCGGAGAGCCCCGAATGACAAAGAGCTTGAAGTTAGGGTCCCCGTTGGGGGGCAGCTGGCGGGAGATCTCCACAAAGGCCCCAGTCTGCTGGTTGATGGCCTTGACGTTCTCCCCGCCCCGCCCGATCACCAGGCCACACTTGTGGGCCGGAATGGAGAAGGTCATCTCCCCTCCTCCACCACCAGGGGGACCCCAGCTCCCCTGGCCCCCTCGGCTGCGACCCCTGCCGCCACCACTCGGAGACATGCCTGGAGGCCCGGGAGGACCCTGAGAAGGAAGGAGGGTGAAGAGAAGAGGGAATACAATTTATATTTAAGTCCTGGTCCTGGACGTCAGTAAGACAGAGTTTGTTTAAGATGAGGATATTTGCCTCCTAATAACAGTAATGTGTCCTGTATGGGGAATTATGTGAATGCTCTAACACTAGGACTATCATTTGTCTGGGTTATGGAGTCCATTTGTTTACAACGTTCCAGTGGTTCACTAAATGCGTTGAGTGTTCTATGTTCCACAAGGCATGGCATCAAGGCAGCTCCAATACACTTGTTTGTAAACAGTTCCAAGCTGGCGTGTGAGCAGTGGCTGTTTTTCAGATCCTCTACTACTCTGTGTGTGTGGTATGTACCCCCTGTCCTCCCTCCTCCCTGACCCTGATGCTCTGCAGTAGCTCCTGGATGATCTGGGCAGCGTGGTCACAGCAGTCTGGTGGGCCCATGATGTGGGCCATCTTATCTGGACCTGTACCATCATCTGCAAAGACAGGACATTTCCTCTGAGTCTAGTGCTACACCACACACAGTATGTAGAGCTTGTTAGTAGACATCACAGAACCTGTGAGTAAACAGTGTAAATGAGTTGAGTAGCAGTTCATATGACATGATTATGAAACATTATTTACCTGGTTTGAACTGTATCCTAACTCCGGCGTCGTTCTGAATCTTCTTGATCATCTCCCCGTTGCGACCAATCACCACCCCGACAGAGTGTCGTGGCACTGGAACCTAGCCAATCAGAGAGCAGATTAGACAGTGCCAAATAGATTAGAGACTGATAGCTATAGGAAGTTGCTCGCTCTCATACGCATAAAACCTCAGACCTGTGATGGGGAATTTGAGTCCCTCTCTAACACACACACACACAGCTCCCTCTCACTTACATCCATGGCTCCCCCTCCTCCTCCCCCCATGCGGGAGCCGTACTCGTTCCGGTCTCCGAAGCCAGGCTGATCCCTCTCCCTCAGTATCTCCTGCACCAACTCCATGGCTTGCTGAGCAGACCCACAGGACAGATATTCAAATTCAAACAACTTTATTAAAGTCTCCTTAGGGAGAACAGAAAGCTACTAGCACATCAAAAGCTGCAGTACAGCATGCCAATTCAATATGGGATGCAGATTGTAGCAAGGCCTTGTGTTACCTCGACTTTGAATGGCTCCCCGATGATGCGCAGGGGCTTGTCCATGTTGGGTCCCTGAGACGCATCCTGAATCAGGATCATCTTCACTCCTGCTCGCTCCTGTCAACGCCGCAGACAGATATACACAGGCAGACAGCATGGTCAGCTCTGCTCAACCAACTCTTGGCAATGATTCACTCACATGGCCCATGAAAAACTTGTGTAATGAGATACGAGTTTCCTGCTTATATTTCTTTCAAGCTTGCTCTGTAGATTTAACAACCAAAAAATAAACTTGCATCACTGCACACAGCCTGTTTGCGATGCAAACTGTCAATATCTCAAAACGCACGCAACAATGTGTTGTGGAACACTTCTCTGGCTACTGGTGAGGCCGACTGACTGTCAGTCTGTATATACCTGTAGCTGTTTGATGGTCTCCCCTCCCTTGCCGATGACGAGGCCAGCCTTGCCTGCGGGAATCATCATCTCCTGCCCCGAGCCACTCTGCCCATTGGTCGCCTCGTGGAAGGATGAGGGGGGCGTGCCCCTCCCCCGAGACACAATCTCATCCAATAAAATTTTGGCTTTCCTAGTCAGAGTGGAAGAGATAGAGGGGTGGCCAACTCAACCGATGAGTGCAATAGCACACATTAATTGTGGAACTACAGAGATTTGCCATATATAAAGACACTGGTGTGTAAATTCAGTGGCCAGAGGTGAACAGCATCTTGTGATAACAATACAAACATGCCACAATTAGCTAGTGGGATCTCACTTACTGTATGGAGTCTGGGGACCCTGTGAGAGACACACTCCTCTCTGGTAAACCTCCACTGTCTGAAAACAACAGTCAGTAACACACACAACTATAAAAACAGATGAATTGAGTTATAGTTTAACTCTGCTCCTAACCATTGACTATGAAGGCCATATTTGCCACAGTCCCTCACCTGGGGCTATCTGAACCTTGCAGCCCGATTCCTGCTGGATCTTATTGATCTGTTCTCCACCACGGCCAATGACTGGAGGAGAGGAAGAGGGGAGAGTTGTTATTTTTATTGATTCTGATGTTCATGATTTGAGTCCAGTAATGTTAAAATTCAACACATGAACACGAAAAAAATGAATCCGGTGACCATGTTGGAGAATGTACACTTACTGAGTCCCACCATTCCATCAGGAACACTGTACTCCTCTGAGGTGGTTGTGAGCCTGGCACTGTGGGAGAGAGAAGCCAAGCACAACAGTTCTTTATCCAAATCGGCAACATATTGTCACCATTAGTCTTCTGCTGAAGAACAATGGATTTGTAATTCCAATCCCCACTGCTATTTCACTTCATTTTATAGGCCTACTTGGAGTGTTATGGATCAAATGATGCTAATGACTTACCTCTGCTGGGCCAGTGCTGCCAGTTGGGCTCCGATGGCTGTAAAAGGAAAGAAAGAGAGAGATATAGAAAGAGGACTGGGCTCAGATTACTGACACACTGCAAGATGAGGACAAGACAAACACAGGTGATGCTCACAGTGACAGACCAGGGAAGAGGGGCCGGACAGTACTGACACAGACCAGGGGAGAGGGGCCGGACAGTACATTTTAGTCATTTAGCAGACGCTCTTATCCAGAGCGACTTACAGTTATACATATATTATTTTTCACGTGGGAATCGAACCCAAAACCCTGGCGTTGCAAACGCCATGCTCTACCAACTGAGCTACATCCCTGCCGGCAATTCCCTCCCCTACCCTGGACGAATTGTGCGCCGCCCCATGGGTCTCCCGGCTACGACAGAGCCTGGATTCGAACCAGGATCTCTAGTGGCACAGCTAGCACTGTGATGCAGTGCCTTAGACCACTGCGCCACTCGGGACACAGACCAGGATAGAGGGGCCGGACAGTACTGACACAGACCAGGGGAGAGGGTTGACATTCATGTAAGACACAGAGCAGGTTTAGTAGGTAGTAGGGGACATGAGGAAGAGCTACTTACACAGAGCTGTGGCTGAGTCCACGTCACTCTGTGGAGCCATTTTCTTGCTCTCCGGCTGATCTGTTGGAAGACAAAACAAGTAAACAACAAAGGTTGAATCTGATCTCACAATAATCTGTGTGTACACACCCCAGTTATCAGAGGTTCACATTGGCAGTAGACCTTCTACAGTCCCCTTGTTCTGCACAGCAGTGCCTATGTGTGTGTGTACCTGGGTCCTCCAGCTGTCGTTTCTGTGCTGTGAAGGGAAAGCCGTCTGGTGCATTGATGTTGTTCATAGGGACTACCCCTGCACATTCACCAATCTTGGCAGCAATCTGATGCACAAAAGTTGAAGTCACTTGAACACATAACAGATATTCAAAGAGCATCTCATGACATGATGAATGTCTGTCTGATTTATTGTGCTGGTCCTGGGTAATAACTAACGTTGCTAAGCCACTTCACATATTACATGAGATGCTAATTGTTTGTGAGCTGAATAATGTCAATTCAACTGAAGTGGGCAAACTTGACAGTGTTGGCTGGCTAGCTTGGGATATATACTTTGTTGGGAATGCACTCAAAAACACTGACACGCTGAGGGCTCGAAGCCTGCCTGTCGATCATCAGGACTTTGTCTTTGCATGCAGCAGAAGCAGCCAGCTCTAGCTAGCTAGGTTAGTACTAACGTTAGTCAACACAACATTGGGAGATGGCTAACTTAGCTAGCATGCATTGGTAACAACAACGGTATTTCTGCAGTGGCAAGTCAATTGGGTCTTCAAATTCACTTGACTTCTAGCTAGGTAGCTATAATAATCATAACTGGCAACAGTATTTATTGCTCACCAACCATAGTTAGGCCAGCTTTGCAAGCTAACAACCACGAAACAAGACAAGATACACATTTTCTTCACCCCTCCCCAGTGGCATTCACGCGCATAGCTACACCGACTCCCCCTTCTGCCTCACCTGCCGGGCCCGTTGTACCGCGTCTGCAAAGGCATCTTTTTTTATTCCGCCACCGTTACCAATACCAATAGCTAGATGTCCGCCGAGAGGAGCTCCAGCACCGGGTGCCGGTACCGCGCTGTACTCCGACATGTTAGCCGAGGGGAGAGAAGACTAAAATACGAAAGTTAAAGTGGTGTTTAGGCCAGGGCAGACTGCGCAGGAGCGAGAAGTCATACGATCAAGATTCGGGGAGGGGCAAGCAACCGGAGATGGAGCACTAAGGGCGGGAACAAGGTTTAGATAGAGTTTTCTACAAATAATGTAATAACATAACGTTATAATAACATTATCTGAAGACACTTTATTACAAAATGTTAATTTCAACCCCCAATGTTTTGGATAATTTTGAAGATTACTTTTGTCAAAGGCAGTCAAAATAACCTGCACATCTTGCAATGACAGGGACTGTCTGTGCCTAAATGGTTTATGGTCTGTGCACTGATCAGAGTATGCATTTTTAGTAGCTGTCATAATTTCCACCTGTACAGTACATTTATTAGCAAACCTTGATGGACCATCACTAATGCAAGCAAAGAATAACATCTACTTCACTCTAATTTATTTAAAAACTAGACAGCAGTGTGTTGATCTTTTATCTGCTTTCGCTGTATTTGTTTAGAAACAGAACTACTAATTATTTACATTATCACATGGGGTGGAGCCTTGCAGTCAAAACATCAACAACTGTTCGTGACGTGTATGTTTTCTGCCACTGTGAGTGGTAGAATTGGTGACGCGGAAGGCCAAGCAAATTTGGCGCCCTTTGGACAAGACGAGTCAGGCGGGATTTTGGGAGTCTGAAGCCAAACTACCAGTGTACCTAATATACGGAATTATTGCTTATATATGGGTGTAATTCGTCGTTAATAGTTGTAATTTACATTGCAGTTGCATGTCAAAACTTGGTTGTAGTTTCGTTACGCGCGTGTTAGTGGAAGTAAGTTTTGGGCAGCTTGCTAGCCGACTATCTTCCAACTAGCTAACGTTAGCCATGCCATCCAACAATAGTCTGATATAGTTAGCTAGCTAGCTAGAGATTATATTAAGATATTTATTTTCCTAGACAGATAGCAAGCAATCAACTTTGCCACACAATGACAGTTAGCATAGCTTAGAGGTTTTGTCTTCTACACTTAAGGGAACAAGGAGGAGAGGAGAGAAAAGTTATTCTGAATGTGCCCAACACCACAAGCTGGTAAGTGTTCTTTTGTTTTAGCTTACTAACATTACCACACCACCATTGAGCTGTCACTTAACTATCTATCTACAGTTGCTGCTTTTCAGGCTAACTGACTACTACTAGTTAGTAATTAAGTTACCTAAGTAGTTAACTGAACCAGAATGCACCAACTAGTTAGTTACTGCAACTAAAACCATTTCATCCTTTTAGGTCAGTGAAATTATGGCTGGTGTCGTTGCTATGGCATCTGTCATTGAAGATTTTGAGACTCAGGTATGTCCAACCAAATTCTGTCTACACTAGCCTGTGTCAACGCATTGGATATCTGTATTTAATTGCATAGTTTTAATAATTTAGAGAGTAATCATCTCGCCATGTTTTACAGCCATGCAAGAAATCACGCAAAGATGCCCATGCTCCTCCTGTCATGACGATCACAAACTACTTCTCCCCCGTTCCCAAGCCCATGGAGAAACCCTTCTCCCCACCCAGGTCCAACAACATCATGGATTACTTCAGCCGGAAGACTACACCAGTTAGAGAGAAAGGGAGTACCCCAGAGCAGACTAAGGAGAACCACCTGGGGCCCCAGCCCTCTGAATCACCAGCCAGCGTAGACAGCCCTGTGAGACGGCCAGCCATGCCCCCTCAGAAACGGGGCAGGAAGCCCAGCAAAGTTGCCCGGCAGTTACAGGAGACGGATGCTGATGCAGGCTTCACTGAGACGGAGGAGTGTGTGGTCTTAGAGGGGCCAGGAGATGGTGAGGGGTCAGAGGACAACGTAGTGAGCAGCAGCTGTGGCATCCTGGGTAGTGACACAGCTGCCCTGCTGGCCCAGTTCAGTGCTGATGCTGGAGACACCTCTGGTGAGAATGGCCCTGGGGCGGTATGTCCTGAGAAGGCTCAAAAAGACAAACATCCCAAGGTGGACTCCAAAAAAAGGGCTCCTGTAAAGAAAAAGGAAAGTCGCGACGGTTCTCCTAAAATACCTCGAAAAGACAAGGTGAAATGGAACCAACCTACTGCAGAAAAGAGAACTGTCAGTAAGGCTAATGCCAAGCAGCAGCAGGAGGATAAGGAAATGGAGGAGTATGTGCCCGAGTTCCAGGAGGCTGAGCTGTCTTTGTGTGATGCAAGCATAGAGGTGAACGTGGGTGAGGCGTCTCAGTTGAACGGAAGCACCGTCACCATCTCCTTTGAGGACTTCCTACAGACTCAGGGCCAGGGAGAGGAGAAGGTGGGAGGAGGAAAGCAGAGTCGACACAGAGCCAGAAGACACGTTGGATGTACCCAAAGCCAATGAGCCGTGTCCCCTGCAGATATCCCCTCGAACCCTCACCATCCAAGCTGAGGTGCACACCATTTCCCCCGGCCACGAGCCAGTCCTTGTTGCAGAGAAAAAGATGGCCTCCATCTTCTCCAGGGGAAAAGAGGAGGGGAGCCCAGCAGCTGTAGAGGTGAAGACCGCTTCCTCTCCTCGTCCCCAGTCTAGACCGGAGCTGCTGCCTGCCCACAAACGGAAGTCCAATGTGGTCCTGCAGGAGGAGGACCTGGAGCTCAGTGTCGTCGAGTCTGAATCATCCACTCCCAAGTGCAGCCAGACTGAGCGGAAGCAGTTCATGAGCGCTTTCAAGCAGCCAGCCAAGCCCGGTATGGGCCCTGGGAAGCAGCCTGTGGACAAGGCCTCGGGGGAGTCTGCTGAGGAGGAGAAACACTCTACTGCCCCAACATGAGGAGCAGCCAGGTAAAAAGGCAGCTAAGAAGAAACCTCAGAGACGAGGGAGGAAGAAGGCCCTGGAGGAGGAGTCAGTTCCCTCACCTGCAGCACAAGAAAACCATGTTCCCATGGAGACTGACACTATGGAGACTGATGCTAAACCCAAAGCAGAGTCTACCACTGATGCTAAACCTGAAGCAGAGCCCACCACCTCCACACCAACAACAGTCAGGAGGTCCACCAGAGAAGCCCCTCGCAGGCAGACACCTGTTGTTGATCTAGTAACCCCAGTGAGGAAAACAATAAAAGAAAGGGTGAAAGATGTTGCAGCAGTCACCGAGGACTGCCCGGTCCAGATGTCCACCCCAAAGTCAGACAAGTCAAGACACAGGGTGTTCAGAGCACAGATGGTCTGTCCACCAGACAAGATAGGAAGTCCCATCAGGTGAGGGATGGCCAAGATATCTTTAAGCATAGTTTTTAATTGTCTAGCTTGTGCATCCTGTTGGTCAGTAACAGAGGCAATATGTTTGGACATAGATTGACTCATCCACAATGGAGGCCTGTCCCAAGTCTGGACACTGTCTTAAAGGCAGGACAATACATTACTACAGACACAGCAGTGCTTTAGCTTCATGCTGACTTTTTGTAATATCTAGTTTTTCATTTTATTTGTTTGAAAATGTTAATTTTGGGCCATTTGGTTTGTTTTTTCTGTTTTGACTACCTTTGCATAAACAATGTTATAATTTGATTGTTACCTTGAACATTCAGGATGAAATTGACCAGAGTCTTCCTATGCTCTGCATCAAAATCTGAGGGTGGAAGTGATTTTGAAATCCTGAGTCCCCTACCTACTAAGGTAATTATAGCCTCGGTTTTTATCAGGTAGAATATTAAACAGATGTTTTGAATTAGCAGCTATAATTCAGCACACACTTAACTTTCACTTGTATTTTTTCTTCTTAAACCCATTTGAATCCTCTTGTTCAGGAATCCAATGCATCCAAGAAGAGAAAAAAGGCGAAGAAGTTGGTGGAGAAAGCCCGGGCGATACAGCAGAGTAAAAAGGCTGCAGCCGATAAGGAGGGTCAGAGCTCCTTACGACGCTCCTCCCGGTGCCAGGTCTCCGTCAAGAAGAGCTACAATGAAGATGAGGTACACTACAGTCCGACAGTCCTAATTACATTTCAATTAAATGATTGTAGGTTGTAGGTTTTTCCTTACTTGGGAGATGATGTTCTACTCTCACTCAGTGTGTACTGTGTAGCCTACTGTACAATTCATGCTCGATTGATAGCATGGGTTTTTATTTGTGTCATATTAAAGATGATGCATGTAGTTTTCAATCCACCTGACTATCTTGTTTCCTGTCCATTTCTCCAACTGTGAGATGAAGCACAAGTACAGAAAGGATTTGTTTCATAGATAACCCGCTAACCCTTTATTTTTGCGAACCACTGTTTGTGCAGGACTCAGTGGTTTGTGTGGAGGATAGCCAGGATGTCTCTGCTCCGGCTGCCGAGGAGAAGGGCAAGGCTCAGAAACGCAGTCTAAATGATGTATTGGGGAAAAAAGCACCTGCCATCAAAGAGTCCAAGAATCCAGCAGGTACTTTAACACTGTTGTTGACATAAAAAGTCGTAACATGGTTATAGACATGTTTCGTTAAAAAATCAAATTGTGCTCACCCTGAAATGTTCTGCTACAGTAATTTATTTGAAAGTGAATTTATTTACAAAGCCTGGAGGTGAAGGGGACGTGTTTTATTTGTGTAGTGTGTCAAGGTGAAAGCCGTGCTTTTGTAATGATTGTTAATTAATCATTTAATTGTTTAAAGCATTACGTTTCTTAAATGTAATTTGTGTTTTGTGCACATATACTTGATGAAATCTTGTCTTATACGGGCTGGGCACCAATTGGTACAGTTGAAGTCGGAAGTTTACATACACTTAGGTTGGAGTCATTAAAACTCATTTTTCAACCACTCCACACATTTCTTGTTAACAAACTATAGTTTTGGCAAGTCGGTTAGGACATCTACTTTGTGCATGACACAAGTAATTTTTCCAACAATTGTTTACAGACAGATTATTTCACTTATAATTCACTGTATCACAATTCCAGTGGGTCAGACGTTTACATACACTAAGTAACTGTGCCTTTAAACAGCTTGGAAAATTCCAGAAAATGATGTCTTGGCTTTAGAAGCTTCTGATAGGCTAATTGACATCATTTGAGTCAATTGGAGGTGTACCTGTGGATGTATTTCAAGGCCTACCTTCAAACTCAGTGCCTCTTTGCTTGACATCATGGGAAAATCAAAAGAAATCAGCCAAGACCTCAGAAAAAAAATGGTAGACCTCTACAAGTCTGGTTCATCCTTGGGAGCAATTTCCAAATGCCTGAAGGTACCACGTTCATCTGTACAAACAATAGTACGCAAGTATAAACACCATGGGACCACGCAGCCGTCATACCGCTCAGGAAGGAGACGCGTTCTGTCTCCTAGAGATGAACGTACTTTGGTGCGAAAAGTGCAAATCAATCCCAGAACAACAGCAAAGGACCTTGTGAAGATGCTGGAGGAATCAGGTACAAAAGTATCTATATCCACAGTAAAACGAGTCCTATATCGACATAACCTGAAAGGACACTCAGCAAGGAAGAAGCCACTGCTCCAAAACCACCATAAAAAGCCAGACTACGGATTGCAACTGCACATGGGGACAAATATCATACTTTTTGGAGAAATGTCCTCTGGTCTGATGAAACAAAAATAGAACTGTTTGGCCATAATGACCGTCGTTATGTTTGGAGGAAGAAGGGGGAGGCTTTCAAGCCGAAGAACACCATCCCAACCGTGAAGCACGGGGTGGCAGCATCATGCTGTAGGGGTGCTTTGCTGCAGGAGGGACTGGTGCACTTCACAAAATAGATGGCATCATGAGGAAGGAAAATTGTGGATATACAGTGAGGGGAAAAAAGTATTTGATCCCCTGCTGATTTTGTATGTTTGCCCACTGACAAATAAATGATCAGTCTATAATTTTAATGGTAGGTTTATTTGAACAGTGAGAGACAGAATAAAACACAAAATTCCAGAAAAACGCATGTCAAAAATGTTATAAATTGATTTGCATTTTAATGAGGGTAATAAGTATTTGACCCCCTCTCAATCAGAAAGATTTCTGGCTCCCAGGTGTCTTTTATACAGGTAACGAGCTGAGATTAGGAGCACACTCTTAAAGGGAGTGCTCCTAATCTCAGCTTGTTACCTGTATAAAAGACACCTGTCCACAGAAGCAATCAATCAATCAGATTCCAAACTCTCCACCATGGCCAAGACCAAAGAGCTCTCCAAGGATGTCAGGGACAAGATTGTAGACCTACACAAGGCTGGAATGGGCTACAAGACCATCGCCAAGCAGCTTGGTGAGAAGGTGACAACAGTTGGTGCGATTATTCGCAAATGGAAGAAACACAAAATAACTGTCAATCTCCCTCGGCCTGGGGCTCCATGCAAGATCTCACCTCGTGGAGTTGCAATGATCATGAGAACGGTGAGGAATCAGCCCAGAACTACACGGGAGGATCTTGTCAATGATCTCAAGGCAGCTGGGACCATAGTCACCAAGAAAACAATTGGTAACACACTACGCCGTGAAGGACTGAAATCCTGCAGCGCCCGCAAGGTCCCCCTGCTCAAGAAACCACATATACAGGGCCGTCTGAAGTTTGCCAAGGAACATCTGAATGATTCAGAGGAGAACTGGGTGAAAGTGTTGTGGTCAGATGAGACCAAAATCGAGCTCTTTGGCATCAACTCAACTCGCCGTGTTTGGAGGAGGAGGAATGCTGCATATGACCCCAAGAACACCATCCCCACCGTCAAACATGGAGGTGGAAACATTATGCTTTGGGGGTGTTTTTCTGCTAAGGGGACAGGACAACTTCACCGCATCAAAGGGACGATGGACGGGGCCATGTACCGTCAAATCTTGGGTGAGAACCTCCTTCCCTCAGCCAGGGCATTGAAAATGGGTCGTGGATGGGTATTCCAGCATGACAATGACCCAAAACACACAGCCAAGGCAACAAAGGAGTGACTCAAGAAGATGCACATTAAGGTCCTGGAGTGGCCTAGCCAGTCTCCAGACCTTAATCCCATAGAAATCTGTGGAGGGAGCTGAAGGTTTGAGTTGCCAAACGTCAGCCTCGAAACCTTAATGACTTGGAGAAGATCTGCAAAGAGGAGTGGGACAAAATCCCTCCTGAGATGTGTGCAAACCTGGTGGCCAACTACAAGAAACATCTGACCTCTGATTGCCAACAAAGGTTTTGCCACCAAGTACTAAGTCATGTTTTGCAGAGGGGTCAAATACTTATTTCCCTCATTAAAATGCAAATCAATTTATAACATTTTTGACATGCATTTTTCTGGATTTATTTGTTATTCTGTCCCTCACTGTTCAAATAAACCTACCATTAAAATGATAGACTGATCATGTCTTTGTCAGTGGGCAAACATACAAAATCAGCAGGGGATCAAATACTTTTTTCCCTCACTGTATATACACACACACACACAAATATGTATGTATAGAAGGACACTAACATTAATGTTTTATTGTGGGGTTTTTTTACCTTCCAAAGTGGCTCCCATGTTCCTTGGGAAGAAAGCACAGAGGACATCAGTCATATCCATCTTTGATGACAGCAGGTAAGCTTATTACAGACTTGCAGCTTATTACCATAACACTGGTTGGTCTCTATTCTAAATTTTAGCAGACCTCAACAAGACCTTACACCCCTATTGTGCCTCTAACCCATTCTAGCCGTGATGGTTCAGAGAACTCTCAGGATGACGAACAGTTCCGAGCCCGCAGGGAGTTCCTGAAGAGTGGCCTCCCAGAGTCCTTCAAGAAGCAGGTAGCCAAAACTGCTGCCACCAAGGAGGCCTATGCTGTCTCCTGCTCCTCCTTCCAGCCTGTAGTGCACGTGCTGCAGACGTCACAGGGTACGTTGTTCTCCTTGCTAGCTCTGTCCCTTCCATCCAAATTGTCTTATTAGTTGTATAATGCATAAAGGGTGCCACACACTGATGTTTAGATTTTTTGAATGGCCATTTTACTAACATAAATCTTAAGCAACTGATAGATAATGAGTGTGCACTGCACTGAGATTTTTATTAAATAATTTGTGTGCCATAACCTGGATTTGAACCGGCAACCTTTGCCTTTTCAGCGTGCCTCCTGTTCAAAGTGTTCCCTCTGTGTTCTCCATCTAATAAATTTTTATTTGACAGACTGTCCTCTCTGGAGTCTACCATGGCCTGTTTCTCCTCGCTTACACTTCCTGAAGGAGCTTTGCTGTCTACCATCAAACCAGCTTCCATCCCTCGATAGTTCCACTTGCTTTAAGACTGAGCCAGCCTCCAGAGCCCACACTGAAAGGGTATGTTGTAATATTATTTTACACATTTCATAATTCACTGGTAATAATCCATGTAATACAGTGGGGGAAAAAAGTATTTAGTCAGCCACCAATTGTGCAAGTTCTCCCACTTAAAAAGATGAGAGAGGCCTGTAATTTTCATCATACGTACATGTCAACTATGACAGACAAATTGAGAGAAAAAAATCCAGAAAATCACATTGTAGGATTTTTATAGAATTTATTTGCAAATTATGGTGGAAAATAAGTATTTGGTCACCTACAAACAAGCAAGATTTCTGTCTCTCACAGACCTGTAACTTCTTCTTTAAGAGGCTCCTCTGTCCTCCACTCGTTACCTGTATTAATGGCACCTGTTTGAACTTGTTATCAGTATAAAAGACACCTGTCCACAACCTCAAACAGTCACACTCCAAACTCCACTATGGCCAAGACCAAAGAGCTGTCAAAGGACACCAGAAACAAAATTGTAGACCTGCACCAGGCTGGGAAGACTGAATCTGCAATAGGTAAGCAGCTTGGTTTGAAGAAATCAACTGTGGGAGCAATTATTAGGAAATGGAAGACATACAAGACCACTGATAATCTCCCTTGATCTGGGGCTCCAAGCAAGATCTCACCCCGTGGGGTCAAAATGATCACAAGAACGGTGAGCAAAAATCCCAGAACCACACGGGGGGACCTAGTGAATGACCTGCAGAGAGCTGGGACCAAAGTAACAAAGCCTACCATCAGTAACACACTACGCCGCCAGGGACTCAAATCCTGCAGTGCCAGACGTGTCCCCCTGCTTAAGCCAGTACATGTCCAGGCCCGTCTGAAGTTTGCTAGAGTGCATTTGGATGATCCAGAAGAGGATTGGGAGAATGTCATATGGTCAGATGAAACCAAAATAGAACTTTTTGGTAAAAACTCAACTCGTCGTGTTTGGAGGACAAAGAATGCTGAGTTGCATCCAAAGAACACCATATCTACTGTGAAGCATGGGGGTGGAAACATCATTCTTTGGGGCTGTTTTTCTGCAAAGGGACCAGGACGACTGATCCGTGTAAAGGAAAGAATGAATGGGGCCATGTATCGTGAGATTTTAAAGTGAAAACCTCCTTCCATCAGCAAGGGCATTGAAGATGAAACGTGGCTGGGTCTTTCAGCATGACAATGATCCCAAACACACCGCCCGGGCAATGAAGGAGTGGCTTCGTAAGAAGCATTTCAAGGTCCTGGAGTGGCCTAGCCAGTCTCCAGATCTCAACCCCATAGAAAATCTTTGGAGGGAGTTGAAAGTCTGTGTTGCCCAGCGACAGCCCCAAAACATCACTGCTCTAGAGGAGATCTGCATGGAGGAATGGGCCAAAATACCAGCAACAGTGTGTGAAACCTTGTGAAGACTTACAGAAAACGTTTGACCTGTGTCATTGCCAACAAAGGGTATATAACAAAGTATTGAGAAACTTTTGTTATTGACCAAATACTTATTTTCCACCATAATTTGCAAATCAATTCATTAAAAATCCTACAATGTGATTTTCTGGAGAAAAACATTCTCATTTTGTCTGTCATAGTTGATGTGTGCCTATGATGAAAATTACAGGCCTCTCTCATCTTTTTAAGTGGGAGAACTTGCACAATTGGTGGCTGACTAAATACTTTTTCCCCCACTGTATTTACTGGTGTAGTTTTGTTTGAGTTAATCAACTTTAGATAATTGAATAATCTGTTCTGAACAGGGGTCTGGCTGGCGAGAAGATTTCTCTGAGCCCGTTCGTAAGCTCCTAATGGGGGAGATCAGTGCATCCAACCCTCCTTTCCCCGTCCAGCGGTTCCTCACACGCTTCCTGACGAGGCGGACGGACCACCTCCAGCAATGCACAGCTTCAGAGGCAGACCCCGGCAACAAACTCCCCAGCAGTGCCCCAGCATCGACAGAGCCTGTTGGGGGGAAGAGGAAGAGAGTGGAAGAGGGTGAGGGGGCCGTGGGAAAGGTGGCCAAGAAGCAGAGGTCCAGGAGGTCAGAGGAGGAGAAGATAATTGTGATCGACGGGGACACCATCTCCCCCGAACCTGAGCCACCCAGGAGGGGAGGGCGAGGGAGGAGGCGCAAGCAGCAGGAGAATGAGATGAAAACACCACTCCCCTCCCAAAAGGACCCTGTGGTACTCCTGGAGGACTCTCCACTGGCTTGGTAACTCTGTCAAAGATGGTAAGAGGGCAAATAAGAAATGTAGTTCTCTGTAAAACCTCTTATCTTGCAGTATCAGTGGTAGCCAAAACATGGCCTTTCAGTTAGACGTTTAAATGTGCTTCCTTCCCCTTTTCATGAGATTACACAATCAATTTTTGAATAGTCTCTAGTAACTGCCTTTTTATTCCACCAGACTCTGTAAAAGAGGATGTGTTGTGGACAGAGAAGTACCAACCACAGCACTCCAATGACATCATAGGCAACACTGCCTCAGTGAGGAGGCTGCACAGGTAAGGGACTGTGGTGTATCTACAGAATGAGTCAACTGAATAGCTCAGTAGCTAGGTGTACTAGGCATACTGCTGACTCTACACAGGTATTACAGATATACAGTGCATGGCCAAAAGTATGTGAACACCTGCTTGTCGAACATCTCGTTCCAAAATCATGGGCATTAATATGGAGTTGGTCCCACCTTTTGCTGCTATAACAGCCTCCACTCTTCTGGAAAGGCTTTCCACTAGATGTTGGAACATTGCTGCGGGGATTTGCTTCCATTCAATCACAAGCATTAGTGAGGTCGGGCACTGATGTTGGGTGATTAGGCCTGGCTCGCAGTCGGCATTCCAATTAATCCCAAAGTTCTTCCATGTCGATCTTGACAAACCATTTCCGTATGGACCTCACTTTGTGCACGGGGGCATGGTCATGCTGAAACAGGGAAGCGCCTTCCACAAAGTTGGAAGCACAGAATTGTCTAGAGACGTTTCCAATTCACAATAACAGCACTTAAAGTTGACTGGGGCAGCTCTAGCAGGGCAGAAATTTAACGAACTGACTTGTTGGAAAGGTGGCATCCTATGGCAGTGCCACGTTGAAAGTCACTGAGCTCTTCAGTACGGGCCATTATACTGCCAATGTTTGTCTATGGAGATTGCATGGCTGTGTGTTCGATTTTATACACCTGTCAGCAACAGGTGAGGCTGAAATAGCCGAATCCACTAATTTGAAGGGGTGTCCACATACTTAGTGTATGAATCAATAGCTTTATGAGCTTGATTGAAAGCCCTTGTGTGTTAGGTGCCATTAATTCAATTAATTTGTCAAGTAATTTTGCATAAACCGATCCGTTTGCAGTTGGCTGAGGGAATGGAAGCTCAGAGCTGACCGGGAAGAGAGGAAAAAACGGAAGGAAAAGAAACAGGAGGATGACAGCAATGGTAAGAGACAGTCACCTTGCAAAAAATGGTGGAGCCCTCTCTTCTAAGATTTTGATCTTGTATTTTCAGTTAGGACTGTGACTGTTTGAGTACAAACAAATGTTTCCCTCCTTTGAAATAGTTACATCGTCCTACGTAAAAGTAACTTTTTTTCGAAGTTACCACAGAGTAAACCTAAAGCAGCCTGATGTTCCCCTCTTGGCCACACAGACTCATGGGACACTGAAGACGGGGACTCTCAGGAGGGGGAAGACTTTATGTGTAACACCCTGCTGATCACTGGTCCCACGGGGGTGGGCAAGACCGCTGCCGTCTACGCCTGCGCCCAGGAACTCGGCTTTTAAGGTCTGTTCACTCTTTACTCCACTTGCCTAACACAGCGGTCACCAACCTTTTATGCTTTATTGTGACCCACCGGTCTCTATTAAAAAGCTGATTTTTATCATGTTCTTTCTGCATACTAATTTGAATGCACTCACTTTACACTCTGAATCAATCAATCAATCAAATTCATTTATAAAGACCTTTTTACATCAGCAGATGTCACAAAGTGCTATACAGAAACCCAGCCTAAAACCCCAAACGGCAACCAATGCAGATGTAGAAGCACGGTGGCTAGGAAAAACTCCCTAGAAAGGCCATGAACCTAGGAAGAAACCTAGAGAGGAACCAGGCTCTGAGGGGTGGCCAGTCCTCTTCTGGCTGTGCTGGGTGGAGATTATAAGAGTACATGGCCATTAAGGCCAGATTGAATTCTTGAAGAATTCAAACTTTCATAGTTGACCAGCAGGGTTAAATAATAAATCAAATGTTATTGGTCGCATGCATACACATATTTAGCAGATGTTAGTGCGGGTGTAGAGAAATGCTTGTGTTCCTAGCTCCAACAGTGCAGTAGTATCAAATAATTAATGGACCAGCCAGGAGTCATCAGGCCAAGTAGTCCTGAGGCATGATCCTAGGGCTCCGGTCCTCCGGGAGGGAGAGATGGAGAGAGAGAATTAGCGAGAGCATACTTAAATTCACACAGGACACCAGATAAGACAGGAGAATTACACCAGATATAACAGACTGTCCCTAGCCCCCCGGCACATAGACTATTGCAGCATAGATACTGGAGGCAGAGACGGGTGGGTCGGGGGACACTGTGGCACCATCCGACGATACCCCCGGACAGGGCCAACCAGGTAGGATATAACCCCACCCACTTTGCCAAAGCACAGCCCCCACACCACTTGAGGGATATCAACAGACCACCAACTTACTACCCTGAGACAAGGCTGAGTATAGCCCATGAAGATCTCCCCCACCGCACGAGCCCGAGGGTGCGCAAAACTGGACAATCACGTCTGTGACTCAACCCACTCAAGTGACGCACCCCTCCTAGGGACGGCATGGAAGAGCACTAGTAAGCCAGTGACTCAGCCCCCGTAATATGTTCAGAGGTAGAGAATCCCAGTGGAGAGAGGGGAGCTGGCCAGGCAGAGACAGCAAGGGCGGTTCATCACTCCAGTGCCTTACCGTTCACCTTCGCACCCCTGGGACCTACTGAAGAGATGAGTCTTCAGTAAAGACCTAAAGGTCGAGACCGAGTCTGCGTCTCTCACATGGATAGGCAGACCATTACATAAAAATTGAGCTCTATAGGAGAAAGCCCTGCCTCCAGCTGTTTGCTTAGAAATTCTAGGGACAATAAGGAGGCCTGCGTTTTGTGACCGTAGTGTACGTGTAGGTATGTACGGAAGGACCAAATCGGAGAGATAGGTAGGCGCAAGCCCATGTAATGCTTTGTATGTTTAGCAGTAAAACCTTGAAATCATCCCTAGACTTACAGTGGGGGAAAAAAGTATTTAGTCAGCCACCAATTGCGCAAGTTCTCCCACTTAAAAAGATGAGAGGCCTGTAATTTTCATCATAGGTACATGTCAACTATGACAGACAAATTGAGGGAAAAAAATGCAGAAAAATCACATTGTAGGATTTTTAATGAATTTATTTGCAAATTATGGTGGAAAATAAGTATTTGGTCACCTACAAACAAGCAAGATTTCTGGCTCTCACAGACCTGTAACTTCTTCTTTAAGAGGCTCCTCTGTCCTCCACTCGTTACCTGTATTAATGGCACCTGTTTGAACTTGTTATCAGTATAAAAGACACCAGTCCACAACCTCAAACAGTCACACTCCAAACTCCACTATGGCCAAGACCAAAGAGCTGTCAAAGGACACCAGAAACAAAATTGTAGACCTGCACCAGGCTGGGAAGACTGAATCTGCAATAGGTAAGCAGCTTGGTTTGAAGAAATCAACTGTGGGAGCAATTATTAGGAAATGGAAGACATACAAGACCACTGATAATCTCCCTCGATCTGGGGCTCCACGCAAGATCTCACCCCGTGGGGTCAAAATGATCACAAGAACGGTGAGCAAAAATCCCAGAACCACACGGGGGGACCTAGTGAATGACCTGCAGAGAGCTGGGACCAAAGTAACAAAGCCTACCATCAGTAACACACTACGCCGCCAGGGACTCAAATCCTGCAGTGCCAGACGTGTCCCCCTGCTTAAGCCAGTACATGTCCAGGCCCGTCTGAAGTTTGCTAGAGTGCATTTGGATGATCCAGAAGAGGATCGGGAGAATGTCATATGGTCAGATGAAACCAAAATATAACTTTTTGGTAAAAACTCAACTCGTCGTGTTTGGAGGATAAAGAATGCTGAGTTGCATCCAAAGAACACCATATCTACTGTGAAGCATGGGGGTGGAAACATCATTCTTTGGGGCTGTTTTTCTGCAAAGGGACCAGGACGACTGATCCGTGTAAAGGAAAGAATGAATGGGGCCATATATTGTGAGATTTTGAGTGAACCTCCTTCCATCAGCAAGGGCTTTGAAGATGAAACGTGGCTGGGTCTTTCAGCATGACAATGATCCCAAACACACCGCCCGGGCAACGAAGGAGTGGCTTCGTAAGAAGCATTTCAAGGTCCTGGAGTGGCCTAGCCAGTCTCCAGATCTCAACCCCATAGAAAATCTTTGGAGGGAGTTGAAAGTCCGTGTTGCCCAGCGACAGCCCCAAAACATCACTGCTCTAGAGGAGATCTGCATGGAGGAATGGGCCAAAATACCAGCAACAGTGTGTGAAAACCTTGTGAAGACTTACAGAAAACGTTTGACCTGTGTTATTGCCAACAAAGGGTATATAACAAAGTATTGAGAAACTTTTGTTATTGACCAAATACTTATTTTCCACCATAATTTGCAAATCAATTCATTAAAAATCCTACAATGTGGTTTTCTGGATTTTTTTTCCCTCATTTTGTCTGTCATAGTTGACGTGTACCTATGATGAAAATTACAGGCCTCTCTCATCTTTTTAAGTGGGAGAACTTGCACAATTGGTGGCTGACTAAATACTCCCCACTGTAACAGGAAGCCAGTGTAGAGAGGCTAGCACTGGAGTAATATGATAAATTTTTTTGGTTCTAGTCAAGATTCTAGCAGCTGTGTTTAGCACTAACTGAAGTTATATTTAGTGCTTTATCCAGGTAGCCGGAGAGTAGAGCATTGCAGTAGTCTAATCTAGAAGTGACAAAAGCATGGATTAGCTTTTCTGCATCATTTTTGGACAAAACGTTTCTGATTTTTTGTAATGTTACGAAGATGGAAAATAGCAGTCCTTTAAATATTCTTGATATGTTCGTCAAAAAAGATATCAGGGTCCAGAGTAACGCCAAGGTCCTTCAGTTTTATTTGAGACGACTGTACAACTTTCAAGATTATTGTCAGATCCAACAGCAGATCTCTTTGTTTCTTGGGCCCTAGAACTAGCATCTCTGTTTTGTCCGAGTTTGAAAGTAAAACATTTGCTGCCATCCACTTCCTTATGTCTGAAACACAGGCTTCCAGGGTAGGCAATTTTGGGGCTTCATCATGTTTCATCGAAATGTACAGCTGTGTGTCGTCCGCATAGCAGTGAAAGTTGACATTGTGTTATGGAATGACATCACCAAGAGGTTGTGTATATGTGTGTGTGTATATACAGTGGGGGAAAAAATGATTTAGTCAGCCACCAATTGTGCATGTTCTCCCACTTAAAAAGATGAGAGAGGCCTGTAATTTTCATCATAGGTACACGTCAACTATGACAGACAAAATGAGAAGAAAAAAATCCAGAAAATCACATTGTAGGATTTGTAATGAATTTATTTGCAAATTATGGTGGAAAATAAGTATTAGGTCAATAACAAAAGTTTCTCAATACTTTGTTATATACCCTTTGTTGGCAATGACACAGGTCAAACGTTTTCTGTAAGTCTTCACAAGGTTTTCACACACTGTTGCTGGTATTTTGGCCCATTCCTCCATGCAGATCTCCTCTAGAGCAGTGATGTTTTGGGGCTGTCGCTGGGCAACACAGACTTTCAACTCCCTCCAAAGGTTTTCTATGGGGTTGAGATCTGGAGACTGGCTAGGCCACTCCAGGACCTTGAAATGCTTCTTACGAAGCCACTCCTTCGTTGCCCGGGCGGTGTGTTTGGGATCATTGTCATGCTGAAAGACCCAGCCACGTTTCATCTTCAATGCCCTTGCTGATGGAAGGAGGTTTTCACTCAAAATCTCACGATACATGGCCCCATTCATTCTTTCCTTTACACGGATCAGTCGTCCTGGTCCCTTTGCAGAAAAACAGCCCCAAAGCATGATGTTTCCACCCCCATGCTTCACAGTAGGTATGGTGTTCTTTGGATGCAACTCAGCATTCTTTGTCCTCCAAACACGACGAGTTGAGTTTTTACCAAAAAGTTATATTTTGGTTTCATCTGACCATATGACATTCTCCCAATCCTCTTCTGGATCATCCAAATGCACTCTAGCAAACTTCAGATGGGCCTGGACATGTACTGGCTGAAGCAGGGGGACACGTCTGGCACTGCAGGATTTGAGTCCCTGGCGGTGTAGTGTGTTACTGATGGTAGGCTTTGTTACTTTGGTCCCAGCTCTCTGCAGGTCATTCACTAGGTCCCCCCGTGTGGTTCTGGGATATTTGCTCACCGTTCTTGTGATCATTTTGACCCCACGGGGTGAGATCTTGCGTGGAGCCCCAGATCGAGGGAGATTATCAGTGGTCTTGTATGTCTTCCATTTCCTAATAATTGCTCCCACAGTTGATTTCTTCAAACCAAGCTGCTTACCTATTGCAGATTCAGTCTTCCCAGCCTGGTGCAGGTCTACAAAAGGAGGACAGAGGAGCCTCTTAAAGAAGAAGTTACAGGTCTGTGAGAGCCAGAAATCTTGCTTGTTTGTAGGTGACCAAATACTTATTTTCCACCATAATTTGCAAATAAATTCATTAAAAATCATACAATGTGATTTTCTGGATTTTCTT